TCAAGACGCCGGGATATTTGCAAAGGTGAAATATTGTGATGAAGGTCATGAAATGAAGTTGGATGGGAAGATGAAATGGAGATGCTTTCGTACTTGTAACAAAACCATTTCTGTAAGGAAAGGAACGTGGTTAGAGGGGTCGAGGATTTCTTTTTTAACGGCTTTAAAATTCATTGATGGGTAGTCCCATAATTTAACAAAACAGTAGAGGAAAGAGCAGCTCAAACTATCTCAGCCAACTATCATAGAGGAACTGCCAGACAACACCTCGATTCATATTTATATGAGTTATTGTGGTGGCGGGCTCATAGAGAAGAGGATCCCTTCCTCGCTATTTTAAATCTTTATAGTCTTCATAGTGTTTCTTTTATATTTACATATGCTGTTTAAATGGTTTTTTATTATTATAATATAATATATGTTGTAAATAAAAGTATTTTTTTATTATTACATTTGTTTTTGTTTTTGCTTATAATTTCAATATCAATACAATACAATAAATATGAATATGGAGATATAATAATATGAATATAATACAATAAATATGAATATGAAGATATTATCAGTGGCTTATCAGAGTAATCAGTATTAAGGTTATAAACATTGGCAGATAGTAGTCGGACGCTACCTGCTATTTAATAAGTACCATAAATAAGACCGTTATAGTTTAAATTTATTTCATATAACATTAATTTATTGTAAAAATCCAAAAAAAAATATATATTTCCAGAATTTTTTTAAAAACAGTGAAAAAACAATTTAATACATATGATGACCATAATTTTCTAGTAGAAATCATGTATTTTTCACAAATAAATAAAAAATAAGACTTTTATGGTTTAAACTATATTATATAACAATAATTTATGGTAAAAGTATATGTATTTCCAGAGAAATAAATTAATATTAACATAAATAAAAGAAAAATATTATGTAGAAATTAATTTAACTTATTTCCTCATCCTCAATATCGACATTCGTAAGAAAGATACTCTCTGACTGAAGTTCCTCATAGTCATAAAGCGACAATTCAGATAGTGATGAACTAAGTGCTTCTGCTTCTAAAAAGGAAAGTACTTCACCACTCACTCAGAGATGAAGAATGTTTATGAGTAGCAGTTAGTAAACTGTTAATTAGAGTGTCAGAACTAACTAAAAGCATATTAAGAAGATCTCTCTTTGAGACTTCTTTTTTTGTGTTATGTTCTCGATATTTACGACAATCTTTATGTCAAGCTTCTACAGCTTCTTCTGTTAATTACCTGATAGGCAAAATATTAAATCTCAAAACCTCTGAACTATGCATTTAAAATTCCATAACCCCGTAAAAATGTGCCCCCTCAAAATTTTATAGACGCAACTTGCGCCATGTAGACCCCTTCTGGGGACCCCTACTATATTATATCCTTTACTTTCCACTCATTAGTTTTTCAAAGCAACCAAAAAAAATTATTCGGTCTCCCTGTTTCCACAAAACCTCGAGAAGAATGGTAGTTGTTATCAGGTCTAGAAAATATGCTTCAGCTAGGACAATTTCCTTTAAAAAAATTTCCTTTTTCCAAAGCTCATTTATTTTTTATGTAAATAGGGCAACATTGTATTTTTAACCTGTATACATTATATTACATAATTCACTACGTTTTAATAAGATTGAAAAAATTTGATTCCAAAACTTTAGTTCATGTTTTCTGAAATAATTAAAAAAAACTGTGCTTAGCGCAAAACTGTGCAAAATCTGACCTATATTACTTTAAAGAATATAAAAAATGCTACATAAAGAAAAAAAAATTGTAGCGCCGGAATACCGGGTAGGGTATTTCACAGACCATATAAGCTTTATTTTTATATTTCAAAGAATTGATTTAAGCAATTTTTTAAATGCAATTTTAACCGACATCAAACTGATTGAACCAAAATTAATCCAGTGAAAAATAAAGATAATTAACTGAATTATCAAAAGCAGTCTTAAGTGATAACACACACAGGCTCTGATTTTATCTATAAATAAAGTAATGGAACTATCTGTCAACTAGTGAAACTAAAGGCTTTCTCGTCCAAACCTCCTTCTTCCATACTCTACTGTGAGAGTTTAAACGAACTTTGAAATTTTACTAGGCCACTTTTTAGGTGCCCAACTATCTAAAAAAAGATGATATATTACATTTATCATATTTTGAAAGTTGTTTTTGTCCTCCTAGATCAGGGAGCCCCACTGTGCGTCGGTGTCCTTTCTTTTTAGAAATAATCTAATATAATTTTCATGATCACTTACAGTTAATTTTATGATAAATTTCAGTTATTTTGCTTTTCAGAAATGAACAAATACGCAAGATAACGAAGTGTTACGGGATTGCCACTCTAATTTTTCGTTGCCATGTGCGGCTTGTTGTTGACATGGCCGGGAAGGCATATGTTCCGTTTATTAAAAGTTAAATAAAAAGGTTAAAATGCATTTTGGAAAGCAAGCTAAGATCTTGCAGGGTGACTCCAAATAGTATTTTAAACAAATTTAAGCAGAAAAAAAAGTTTTTCTAAACGTATTTTTGGATTTCAGGGCCCGCTATCTGGCAGAAACACTCGAATGAGCTCCCGCTGTCAAAGGATTATAGCAAATTTTTTTAGTTCCTCACTCACTGATTTTCTTATTTAAATGAAGTTAGCTCAAAATTTTTTGATTATTTCTGTTAGGAAGGCATATTTATATAGAAAAAGTTACAGTAATTAATTAAAAAATATATGAGCTTCAAATGCTTTTGGGATACTAATGACAATAATTCAATTCAATTGGAATTTACTGGTAGTATCAATAATATAATAAGGAATACACAAGATAACCAGCAACTGTAATGTAATGTATTCCCTTGAAATAGGAAGGTTTTTTTTTTTTTTTTTTTTTTTTTTATTTCAATGGAATTTACAACTGTATTACATAGAGAATACAATAAGTAAATGAGAAATTTGTAACATGGCATGTACAACATGAAGAGAAACTACCCATTGGTAGAACTCAAATTAAAGTTCTATATTAGAAGATCCCGAGGCCATCTTCTTTTCAGACGCCTCGGAGGATTATCAGGGATCGAGGATGAAGCAAGGTTTGAAACGAGAGGATTCGGATGATTCTGCAGTTTGTTATGGAAGGAAAGGTATCTGGATTGGGCCAGATCGGAAACATATGGAACATTAAGGTCTTTATGGATGATTTTATTTGTGACAAAGTAAGGAGCGTTGAGGATTTTACGAAGGATTTTGGATTGTAAGGATTGGATACGAGAGGAATTCGATGGTTTAGTGGAGCCCCAAAGCTCAATTCCGTAAGTCCAAATAGGTCTTATTATTGTCATATATACGAGTCGTTTATAATTGATTGAAAGCTTAGATCGTTTGTCTAGTAAGTGCTGCAGTAGTCGAAAACGTCGGGCGGTTTCTAGTCGTTTCAGTCTGGTATGGGGGTTCCAAGTGAGTCGTTTGTCAAGGTGGAGTCCTAAGTAGCGGATTTGCTCAACAGGAATAAGTGGAGTATTATTGAAGGATACTGTAGGACAAGAGGTCATAGGTTTACGACGGAGGGTAAAAGTGATTTGATGGGATTTGTTGGAATTTATTTTTATTCTCCAATTTTTACACCATTCTTCAAGGCTTGTGATATGTGATTGAAGAGTTTGGGATGCAATTAAAGGATCGTTATTAACTGATAGGATACACGTGTCATCGGCATAGGTGGTGATGACAGTGTTGGATTGGGTTGGGATGTCAGCTGTATAAACTGTGTAAAGGATAGGACCTAGGATACTACCTTGAGGAACACCGGCAGACTGAGTAAAAAGAGATGAATAAGCATTGTTATGATTGACTTTGAAGTATCTGTCAGTAAGGTAGGAACGTATAATGAGGAAGTATGTAGGTGGTAGGAATTCACGGAGTTTGTACATCAGTCCCGGATGCCAGACTCTATCAAACGCCTGTTCAACGTCGAGAAAGACTCCCGTGCAGTACATTCCGCGCTCCAATGCAGAGGAGACTACATCTACCACACGATGGCATTGCTGAATAGTGGAGTGGGATGTGCGGAATCCAAATTGGTGATCTGGGATAATGTGTTTAGAGTCTAGGATGGGATACAGGCGTTTTAAAATGAGTTTTTCCAGGATTTTGCCCATAATGGGTAAAAGGGAGATAGGACGGTAAGAGGATGGGTGTTCTGGCGGCTTTGTGGGTTTAGGTATCATTTTGACAATGGATAGTTTCCAAGAGTCAGGAAAATATGTGGTGCGGAGTACAGCATTAAATATATAGGTTAGGAACAATATGGCTTTTTTAGGAAGACATTTTAGGATCTGGGAGGTGATTAGGTCATGGCCAGGAGCTTAGCGAGAAGGTAATCTATTTATGATATTGGATATTTCTGAAGGATAAAATGCTTTAGGTGGAGGAGTCAATTGGAGTGGGGTATCCAATTCTGCTTCAATAAACTCAAGGTGGGTTGGATTAAGGATGTCTGGGTGTGGATTAAATGTTTTTGAGAGGTGTTGAGCAAATATTTGAGATTTTTCATCATCAGATCTGGACCAGGTTTGGGTTTCAGTAATAAGTGGGTGGTTAAAATCTTTGAATTTAAGGAGTTTTTTAGTGGTCAACCATAGTGATTTGTCACAAGTAGTAAGTTTTTCTGTCATGTTATGTAAATTTTGAACTTTGTATTTTCTAATTTCAGCTTTTAGTTGGTTAGTTAATTTGTTGTAATATGTCTTATCTGATGGATATCTAGTCCGAAATAGGAAGGTAAGATAGAAAACTGCAAGTAATGCATAAAATAATAAAAGCAACTCTTACAGAAAATATTTCTGTATAATAGAGATCCTTGATTTAAAAAAAAATCATTACTTGCAAATCTAACATTTTTTTTCAATTGCAAAATTAAAAAAGTTTTAATGGTAATAACTAAAACTATAATAATATGACAATCACTTAAACAAACATGAATTTGCCTACCTCCATACCTTATAATCATCATCCATATAGTAAAATGCCATGACAGCATCATGGTGACTAGTCACTTGCAAAATGTTCTCAAAGGTATCATCTACTAGTGTTGAATCAGCCTGTAACGCAAGACTACTTCTTCGAGAAAGTATGTTACTTGTAATTATCTTGGTAGATTTTTCGAAATCACTACAAAGAGTCAAATAAGAACAATGAATGGTATGAAATTCAATATATTTTTAAAATTAAAAGTTAATTATTTAATTGATAAAATATAAAGAGGACCTGACAGAAGCAACCTAATATTTCACACCAACAACTGACCACAACAGATTTTTAATGCTGCATATATTTGTATCTTTATTATTTTATAATTATTTTTTATCACCAACTCACTCTTTTGAATTTAAAAAAAAAAATTTTTTTTTGTAAAAGTCAGCGATAATTGTTTCCAAAATATACTCAAATGTATATAATTTAAATATTGGGATTTAATCACGATGTATTATCACATTTGTATATACACAGCAGCACGGCAGTAATACTGAATCTAAAGGATTAAGACAACAAAATATTACAATAAGACTACCGGGAGCCAGTCTGGATCAAGCTTTCGTAGACATTGGGTCCATGTACTGGACATCTTCCCCCACCTTCTCACCAGCCGCTCCAGTTAGTTAACTCAATTTCACCGGCCTAGTACAGCGGCATTATGAACACTACAGCTGATCGGCAGTCAGGAGCAAGCATTTGTGGATCTAGGGTCATGTTGGAGATAGACAGACCCCTCCACCCCACCAGTTGCTCCGGCTCAAATCACCTTGCACCAGCATAGTGCCATTTTGAACATTACAACTGATCAGCACATCAACAGTCGTCATTGAGATCGATAGCCCCCACCATCGACGGTTGGACATCGGATGAAGTAACCTCGTTGGAAGTGACACTGTTTACCTACTTCCCTCTGGATTCGTTTTCTTTTATATTCTACACCGGCTTGAAAAGATATTCGTAAACTAGTTAATTTTTTTTCTTCTCTAAATTGATTTCTTTCTTATTATTTATTTAAATTTTAGAAGTTATTTTTAATATTTATGCTTTATTTTTGGATGAACAATTTTTATTTTTTCATTGAATATTGTATTCTATGTTTATTTATTTCAGTGAACATTTATACTATTGTCTCATTCTGTTTTCTTTTAAACTTTTGCATATATATATATTTTTTTTTTTTTTTTTTTTTTTTTTTTATTCAATATAACTCTGTAAATGTTTAAAAGGGGGATTGTTTATTTTTTTTTCATCCTTTAATAAATTGAATATTATATTTAATATTATTTTAATTTGCATGCGTTTTAACCTTGTTTTACAGGTCTCATTTTTTCCTTTTTTTTTACTTCATTCCCTTCATTTTAATTTTACTCATATTTCTCACCTTTGAGGAAATTCACCAGGAAAAGGTTTGTATTTTCATTCTGAAATACCCCTGGTCCCAACACAGATAAAATAAAATATAAATGATCCCTAGAACATGTCTTGATGGTTATATACTTACTCCATGGCACTACAGGTTGGTGTGAGCCTTATCCTCTTTAACTAGAGCTGCCCAGCCTGTTATGTCTTTAACAGCCTGTCTCCAATTCCTGACTCCTAGCACCATAGCATCCTTCCTAACTTCTTCATCCTCCCTCCAAATGGCTACATGGTCTTCTTCTTTTCTTGGCATCAATCACCTCCAGTATCTTCCGCTATACTCTATCTTCATTCATCCATATAATGTGTCCAGCCCATTTTAAGGCAATAAAGAGAAATGAAAGAACTACAGGGGAATAACCCTGCTTGGAACTAATTATAAGACATTATCATGCCTATTATTTAGTTCACAATATGATGACACCTTTAAAATTTAAATTGTTGTATATGAAATCGGGGAGTGGGGTAGCTCAGTGGTAGGGTACTGAGCTTCCAATGCTAAAGGTCCCAGGTTCGAATCCCGGCTCATGAAGTATGTAAATCTCACAAATGATTATATATTGGTTGGTCCAAACATGAAGGATAATATTTAAAATATAATAAAAAAAGGACAGTATATCCAAATTAAAATTTGTTAAGTAACAAGGATACCCTAAATATTCTATAATTATATAATAGAATGAACTTGAGGATGAGCGAGGTGGCTCAAAACATTATTCAGATAAATCAATATAGATTAGAAGTTGAAGGGCTTTATGTTTTCCTTGCAATTAAAGAAAGAGATAAAAACAAACTAATTTTAACATATATAGGTATGCTTTAAAAATTTTTCATAAATGCTTTAACTCACATTCATAAAAAACTAGTGTTATATTGTGCTATCTCCAACTTTACCTTTCATCCATGTTGACTTTTATATTGAAATTCAATTCCTTCTCAATAAGATGTTCATCATCATACCCGACTGAAAAAAAAATTAAAATAGCAATAATAATCAACATTTAAGTTATTAATCTTAAGAAAGATCTAATGTAATAATTATAAAAATAGAGGAAACTTTTTGTTTGGTAACATCTTGCTCAATGAATATAATAACCATTTTATTAACCTTTGTAATATTATTTTGCAAAAATGAGAGGGGAGGGGAGGCCTTAAAACAACATTAGTTGACAGTTCTCCACGCCCCTGTGATGGAAAACTTTTCATCACCTCTATACACCACTTTAGCCTTTTTGTTTAGGGTATTGTTCCAAACTTTTTTATTATTATTTTTTTTTTTTTGTTTAACTTTTGTACCATTTATAGAAAGGCCATGAAATAGTTTGAAAATATTATTCATCACTCAGCACCCCGTCATTTAAAGAAGAAGAGACCAACAGGCTCTCGACTCATATATAAGTTCACCAGCATTAAAGGGTTGATACAAAGTTAAAATAAGAAATCCTAAAATAGTCAACTTTCCTTAAGATAATATCTAAAATCAACCAAAACTTATAAAAGCCAGACATATGCCATCAAGATACAATACTATAGGAAGATGGTGGCCCTATCAGAACTGCAATTAGTCAATGGTTCCCCAGGCTGAAGGAACATTTACTCTGATGTTTTAACAGAACACAACATATATTGTAAATGTTATACATATATATAGCACAAAAGCCCAAAACTTTAATAATAAAGTCCCCTAAGAATAATAACAGAGATACATAATTAAGAGCCTTAGTCTGGCTTAGAATACAAAATAATGCTTAATTAAGTGTTAATTGCAATTGCAATTGTGCAGTTGATTGAATTATACAATGTACATACGCAAGTAAATTTTACATAATTGTGGTAGTTTGAATATGAAGTAGGTGGTGAAACAAGAGTTGTTTGAAGGAATTTTTTGACAAGAATTGACGTATGGAGGTAGGTATAGAGTTCCAAAAGGAGATAGCACGAATGATGAAGGATTTGCTGAAGGAAGTAGTTTTATGGGAGGAGATATATAAATCTAAAGGTTGAGATCTGGTATTGAAAAAGTGGACAGAGTAACATAGAGTATGCAGTTCTATGGTATAGGGAGGGTTTTCGATTCTGAGGACTTGGAAAAGTAACACCAAGAAGGAATTGCTGTGGGGAAGGAGGATAAAGCCACTTCAACATGGTGTACTACAGAATGCCTCAGAATCCCAAAAATGTATCTGATAAAGCAATTTATGAGTCAGTCTCTTGAGTCTCATCTCCAGCCTGACAGACAGCCCTCCAAACACCAAACAACCATAGTCGAAGTGGGTTGCTGTTACATATATGGTGATGATTTCCAAATTTATCTATCATTCCAACCTTCCAAAATGCCTGAGGCTACCCCAAAGCTACAAGAGGATATCGACTGCATCAACAGATAGGCAGAAATAAATTAGTAAAAGCTAAATGCAGACACAATTAAAGCTATTCTCATTGGGTCCCAAACATCTCATTAGTTTCCTACCTAACTCTCCTCTACTTTATCTCAATAATCGACCCATCCATTTTTTCCTTACAATGAAAAACCTAGGAGTAAACTTTGACCAGAACCTTTCCTGTAGTAACCATATTTCCCAGATTACCTGAAAATCCATAACTATCCTTAAACAACTACTAATATTCCATGATTTTATTTCTCTAAAAACCAGACAGCTCCTTGTAACCTCCCTTATTTTCCCCATTTCGACTACGGTTGTTTGGTGAATGGAGGATTGTCTGCTTGTTGTTATTGTTTTATTTTCTACCTTTCCTTAACTTAGATTGAAAGATGGTTCTAGATGTTAGTTGAAAAGTATGAACTGGTAAAATACTACAATAAAGTAGTAGGAAGTGCCTCACTTTTAATCATCCTAATTTTATTCTGAGGATCCCATTTTGCTCTAAGTCGGGGTTCGGTCCAAGGGGATGAGGTAGGTCCACACATGCTTCAGTTTTTGGCTCAGTGGTTCATAACACTTCAAAGGGTTAGAAATTACTGCCTTAGGATCAACTTTCCTTCCTAGGTAGCTGCCCTTGACTGGGGAGTTCATTAGGATGCTCGAGGTGACAACCTCTCCACATGCCTCATGGGTTCCTTAAAATACTATTTCTCATAAAAACTTTTAAAATAGGCAATAAAATGGAATGGTCTAAATGAAAAAGATCTAAAGGCCAAAATAAGGACCTACATATTGCCAGATGAAATATTTTATCTCTTAATATACATTGAAGAGTCTTCTGGGTCCTTGCATAACTTTAAAAATAAAACACAGACAGCTATCCAGGAAATCCATTCGCTGGATGAAGAGCTACATAAAATGAAATACCACATCTTGTATTACAACTGCCATAGAACCCACCACAATTTTAGTTCAGTATTTGTACTGAAATGTTGGGCCCAACCTAAATGGAAAAATAAGAAGAAACAGAGAATGAAAGGCAGAAGAGAGGTCACTAAATTGATCACTTCCAAATAAGTTCCTAGTACAAGCCAGACCTTATCTTATGATGTTTTAAGTACTGTCAAGACAGCATGGTAACTGTCAACATATTTTTTTTTTTTTTATATTGCTCCATTAGATAATATGGTACAAATGGAATAAGATAAGCCACCTGGCTATATTATTAACTGTATATATTATGCTGCATTATATTAACAGCATAATACAATAGTACAGTGTTTGCTTGGACTCTGTAGTGGATAGAGCTCAGAGCTACAGCAGGCAGATAAGTCTACTCTATTCTTATTTTATCTTATTTTTTCTCTATTCACAATATTATAATTTAAAAAATATTCTTTTATTTCCTTTTTCTTTCGTTAAGTATATAAGAGATTTATTCATATTTTTTTTCTATTTATTGTTTAGCAATATTTTATAAACTCAGTTCTCTGACCAATGAAAAACTCGACCGATCTAACTAGGCTATGAGAAAAAGACATTGGGGTTGAATAAAAAATCTCCCAGATAAAATATCTATTGAAGACAACCAAGAAATGAGCCCTACCTTCTTGGTTGTTATAAGAAACGATGAAGAGGCCTTTAAAAAATTCTCTCCATTTTCTATTGACAAGTTTGTCACTGGGATGGTTGATGACATAAAAAATATTGAAAAACTTAAGGATGGATCCCAATTGTTTGAGGCCTTTAGAGGTACCCAATCAACTTTCTTAATAAAAAGTAAAAATTTTGGAAGAAAATTTCCCATCAAAGTAACTCCACATAACATGTTGAATTACAGTAAAGGGTTAATTAAAGTTTATGACTTTCAATACATTAATATTGAAGAAATAAAAAAGGAAATGGGCCATATAATAAAAGATATTGTTAGAATAAAAATGGTAATGAAATAGTGACTCATAGCTATAATGTTACTTTTCCAACACCCGTCGCACCTAAAACGATTAAAGTAGGATATCAAACGGTCGGAGACCGGGCCTATGTGCTGAATCCCCTTAGATGTTTTAACTGTTATGGTTTTTGTAAAATAAGGCTCTGTTTATTTTTTCACAATATTTGTTTTAATTTTCATAGCTACGTTTGAAAATGGCTTAAAGATGGCTTACAGACCGAAATGTAGCTATGAAATTAAAACAAATATGGAGAAAAAATTAACAGAGCCTTATTTTATAATATTAGAAAATTTTCACCTAAAACAATCACATATGTTGAAGTTTTTATCATATTACTACCCAATGCAGAAAACAACCAATTTGTACTAAATGTGGCGAAATCCAGCATACAGAAAATTCTAAATGCCTAAATTACTTTACTTGTATTACCTGTGGAGAGAGGGGAGAAGGGGAAAATACGCGCCCGTTCGCAGCTGTCTGATATTTCAGATTCAAAAGGAGATAAAAGCAATACAAATTAATAATAAACTATCTTTAATAGATGAAAAAAAAATTTATAAAGGACAATACCCTGTAGTCCGTGGTATAGACCCCTTTTTATCAAATTATTAATATCCGCCTAAAACTTTGTGAATGGCTTTATCTTATCATAACCTACAACATTTTCATCTATGAAAATTCTCAGATATGGAGCATTTTCTCATTAAATTAATTAATCTAATGAAGTACTAAAAACTCGTAAATACCCATTTGGTTTCCATTTGATTCATAAGTAATTTAATCACAAAATTAAAAACAAAGGTGGCCTACGAAAATATTGGGCTGTTTGGCCTAAGCAACCTTGATATTTTAGCATGTTAGGGGTGGAGGTTACAACAAATTGCCCAATATTTTTGTTTGCCACCTTTTTATTGATTTTGTGATCAAATTGTCTTACAGTTCAAGTGGAAAGCGAATGGGTGTTCATGAGTTTTTAGTACCTAATTAAATAGAAAAAGTTTGTCGATCTCCAGATTGAAAACGCCTCAATTCCAAGAATTTTCATACTTAAAAAAGTTGTGGGTTACGATAAGTTGAAGCTATTCATGAAGTTTTAAGTAGATGTCAATAATTTCATAACAAGGGGTCTGCACCATGGATTGGTTTTACTGGTTTTCTAAATAAAAAAAAAAAGTATGAAATTGAAAAAAAAAAAGAAATTACCACCCAAATTAATATCTCGTTCATATTTAGAAAAACTGCATCTATTAATGGTAAGAATGACGATAACAGTAATAGAGATAATAACATAAACACAAAGATAGACGAGCATGTCAGGTCAGAACAAACCCACCCGACTAAGAACCTAAGTTTCCCACCCTGATCCTACTCCTCCCACCATGGCCTATTTGGAGCGTATTCCTCCAAGAAGACATTTCTAGAGCCATGTTCAGCCTCCCCATTTTCTCCCCCCACCACTATCATATTGGTTACGGAACAGAGGGTAGCACACATCTGTTTGCAGCAATGAAATCATCTATTTCTTTAGACAACAAGATTGCGATTATGTCTTTAGACGAAGTTGGCCAGTCTGTCGACGAAGAGGGTTTTATTAAAGCGAAATGAAGTAAAAAGGACACAAAAAGCAAAACAATGATCACAAATCAATATTTTATGTTAATATATAACACACCATTTATTTCTATCTGTGTGTACCATGTATATGTATATTTTGATGTATATCTGTGTATGTTCTCGATATGTGTGTATGTGTATACCTGTATAGGTGCACCTGTGCTTACGTGGACATTATATGTGTGTATATATCTATATTCGTTTATATGCCTGATGTATGTATTATTTATACTTTTATATAAGTTTAATGAGCATTGTACATATTTACTTTTTCTTCTATTATATTCATTTCTCTTATCATCATCTAATTACCTATCTAATAATTTATTTACTTACTCTATCTATTACTATTCATACTCTATTCATACTCTATCTATTTATTACTTATTCATTTTACTGTCTTTTACCTTCCATTATTACTTTTTTCTACTCTTATTTCAAGTGGAAAACGGACCTTTTCAATAACTAAATGCTTACTATTTTACACCTATTACTATACATCTGTATATATTATAAATTTTCGAGTGAGGAGATGGTCCGGGATGACGGCCATAAAAAGGCTAAAATAGTGAAAAAACTATTTTATTTAAAGCTGACGTTTTGACCCGTGGGCATGGATTGTCGGCAGGATTGTTTAAATATGGTGGAGAAGAACTGCACAGGACACTTTATGACCTGATCTTCGAGATATGGGTTCAAGAGAAGATCCTTCAGCAATGGAGGAATGTTTTGATATGTCTGCTTCACAAGAAAAAAGAACAATAAGAATGTGCTAATTACAGAGGAATATCACTGCTCCCCTGTTAAAGCCCAAATAAACAAACAAACAATAAAGTCAAATGGTAGTAACCTTACCTATGGGAAAAAATGAAGACAGTAATAGTGCTATCATTGCCCCCTAGTCGAGAGGGCAATCCTAGAAATTCTTGCTTCATAGATAATACAGGGTTCGCGAAATGCTCACAGACATTATAGCTGAAACCTGTAATGAAAGCAAAATTTATGGCACCTGAATGTCTACCACCTATGGCTGGATGCTCCATGAAACCGTAACCATTAGTAAGTTGATGCATGGACATAGTTCAAAAAAGGAAGGAGGAAAACCAAGGGAACTTGAAAACATACACCAGCGAATTAAGAAAATAAATAGGAGCCTAATCATCAACAAACACAAAAGAGATCAAGAAGTATAACAGAGATTATGAAATCTCTGCTAAAAAAGCCAAAATAAAAACAAAGATCAATGGACAATCAATTAGTAGAACAGGAAAGAGCCAGATAAATAAAATTAACAGGTTACTATCACCTACACAATTAGGCGTAAAGGCATCTAGTCTGTACTACAAGGCAAGCTCTGTCTTCATCAGCATGGACAAAAGTACTAATGTCAAGAAGATGATCATGCAGCAGAGGCTGCAGGACAAAAAATATTTAAAACTTATCACTGTAGAAGGGGAAAAGGAACTTTAATAGTTTACTAGGAAATATCTGAATTTAGTAAGCCCCAATAAAAAAGAATGAGCAGTGATACATATTACTGGAATTGTCCTTCTAAAAATTAAAATGTAAGCAGAAAAAATAGAATAAAATATAAATAGCCAAAATTTAGCAAACCCACATGAAAATTGAAAGAAGATATTAAAGATTTAGAACTGTTCAATAACAAAATTTTTAATGATGAATTTCCTGACTTTTGCAAAATTTACTGCCAATTCCTGATTTATTTCTAATCATACGAAATTTCTAAAATATTTCCAATTTTCTCAAAAGAAAGGTGCAAATAAGACATTTCATGAGACCAAAACTTAAAACTGAAATATTTTAATGATACTTCCCTTAACTACTAGGTTATTTCTATAACCAAAACGAGTTACCATAATAAATAAGAAGCACAAAAATACTCACGTCCAGAATATTCGAATTGACAAGCAACATTTGTGGAAATTTTATCTCCTGCTCTACTGTGAATTGAATAAATGGAATGGATCATTTCATCGACTAAAAATGAACACATAACCTTCAGATTCTTTATCATATACAGTAAAAGCATTTTTATCCTGAAAAACATTATTTTGATGAAATAACAAATTTAAATTAAACAAAAATTAATATCATAACTTTAGGAATATAAACTCTGTACCAATTTTTAGAACAGAAACAGCAGAGAAGTATACTGAATACCTTTATTTATAAATGTTTTGATAAATACATCAAAGTCATCATAAAGACAAATCTATACAAATACATAGAAAAAAAAAAAAAGGAAGGAGATGGTCCAAGGTGGAGGTTATAAAAAGACTTAAAATATTGAAAAACTATTTAATTTTAAGCCAATGTTACGACTCAACTATTGGATGTCTTCTTCAGAGCTAGAACGAGCAAGATACAAAAGAATATAGAGAATTGTGAGAGTTACATAATATTTAGATAAAAATTATAAACAGTGTGAAAAGAAATTGTATAAACATATTAAAAACATTGGTACTTTGTGTCCAGGGGGCCGCTCCTGACTGCTATCTGCCAATATTTATAACCTGAACACTGATAACTCCCATAATGCAGTGATAAGCCTCCTCCTACTTCATATCTTCGTACTATTGTATTAAATTTGTATTATTGAAAGTGTTAACAGATGCAAAAACAAATGTAATAACAAAAAAAATACTTTTATTTGACGACACATATATTAATGAAATAATAAAAAAAACACTTTAAGAAGATATGTACATATAAAACATCAAAATGAAATAATAAAAAAACACATTTAACTTTTTTACCCTAACCACCCCATAGTCTTTTTATGTGTTGAGTATTCATTATTTGGTATATTTCAATTATAATTACTTTATTTAGTATAAATCAATTATAATTACTTTATTTAGTATAAATCAATTACTCTGTTTAGTATGCTTCAATTACTCTACTTACTTAGTTAAATTTCATTTAATCTGTTTATTTAGTTAGGTGTTAGGCTTTATTTACTTTTTTTACTCTGATATCAGATTCATTTTAATGTTCTTAATATTTGTATACACTGTCTATTCACACTGTTTATAATTTTTATCTAAACATCATGTAACTCCCATAATTATCTATATCCTCTTGTATCTTGTTCATTCTAACCCTGAAGAAGACCTGCAAAGTTGGGTCGAAACGTAATAGTGTTTAAGTGTAAGTTAAAATAGTATTTCTACTATTTCAAATATTTTTATGACTTCCAATCCGGACCATATTTTTCCTCTGTATTATACAATGTTCAACCATCGAAATATTCAATAGAAAAATAATGTACTAAGAATTAACATCAGAAAAAAAATATTAATATAATTATTACAACAAATAATTCTTACTTCTTCAAAGCAGCCAGAGTGAAATCAAGAGGAACAGTATATGGTAGGCTCAATAATGATATCAACTTCATACCACGATGGGAAAGCATCCAGTTATATAAACCTTTATTTGCTGTATCAATAGCTTCTTGAAATATACTCATCACAGTGTCAGGTAAATTAGCTACCAAAGCTTCCTTAAAAGAATTAATAAAAACAATGAGAAATTACAATTAGCTTTTAGAAACTTCATCAAACAAAACACTGCTTAAATAAATGGAATTATTTTATGGAATAGATAAAGGCCCATTGTATATTAAAACTTGATTTTATTTTCTAGCAAAGCAAAATTGTAAAGTGTTTCAAATAGTTATATGAATTGAAAGTATGTCTGGCTAAAGACTATGTATAAGGAAATGACAACCAGGGTGATTTTTTTTTTGGAGCAACTAGAAATTTCCTTGTGATCCACAGGTACCAAGTTTAAGGCTAGTTGTACCTAGGAGTGGATATTGTTAGCTCTTAAATTCCTTAACATCAATGTCCTTAGGCATAATGATTTCAAAAACTTAGTGTTTTTCCTTAATTTTCATAAATCTCCAAGATATAGAACTACAAAACTTCTAATCAGCCATAAAGAATAAAAAGTTTCTTGAACACTTGATGGTTGGCCGTTGTATACTATTGAGAAAGGAGATGGTCTGAGGTGGCTGTCATTTTCAGCTCAAAGAAGAGTTGTTGTCCCTCTACATCCCTGATAATTTTATCCTTGTTTCCCTAGATGGCGAAAGCTTATTTCCTAACATCCCAATAGACAAAGCCCTCCACATTGTACAAAAAAACTGGACCATTATTGAACTTCACCTCGTACCTTGAACCCTTGAGCTTTTTTGCAAATCTGGATACCTCACTTTCCAAGGTAAATTCTTTAATCAGATTTCTGGTCTAGCGATGTGAAACTCTTTGGCACCTGATATTTCCAACATATATCTTAATGAACTCCTTGATTCCATTATTCCTTCTTTCCATCAAGATATCATTTTCATTAAAAAATATGTTGATGACCTATTGACAGCATCCCTCAAATCATTTCCTCATTTCACTCTTACCACCCCCATCTTCGTTTCACAATTGAGATAGAAGTTAACAAGTCACTTCACTTTTTAGACCTCCCAATAATAAGAAACACTGACAGCTCTATTTCTACTGACTGGAATAATAAACCCACATACTCAGGCAGACTTCTTAACTTTTACTCTCAGCACCCATACCACCAAAAAATCAATACCGCCAAAATTCTCTCTCTTTTACACGCTGGGGCAGAATCCCCTACCGTGCACCCCTCCCCATCCCTCCCATATCTCTATAAATTGCATATCGTTGTGTTCTTTGTAACTATTTATTTTAAAAAAGCCAATGTCCCCACAAAATAAAGTGAACACACTGCCCCAAAATGGCAGACTGACAACTTTGACGTGAGTTAGTTTTTTAGTCACTGAGAATCAGCATTTAGCTTAATTTCGTCATGATTGACCTTTTATTAAAGTTTCATAGTCAAGGAACAATAAAAATTGAAACAATATTAAAAAATAATTGGCTTAGGCAATAAAGAACACCACTAAAGTCAACTTTTTCAAAAAAAAAACTTTTCAAGTTGAAAAACAAGCATTGTAAGTAATTAAACGGCCTACAATAACAGAAAACATCCTGAAATAAAACGTCTGGAAAATATATTTTTCTTTCTAAAACACTGATAACCTTTTAAAATATTTGAAGCGGTTTTGTAGAAATTGCACTTAATCGGTGGAAAAGCGATATTGGCGTAGGTGCCTACAGGCTTCTGCCTCATCATTCAATACCCATAAATGGCATGGTTATATTGCAATAATAATGTTTATGGTATATTATATTGATTGTATTACCGAACAAATATTAATGCAATAATTTAATTGTCCATAAAAATTAAACTTTTTTTCTATGTTACTTTCTTTATTCTATACAGTGGTCATTTGAGAAGGCCTCTATTGTAAAAATAATATAATTATAAAAATAAAACTTAATTCAATGTATATTGAATAATATGCCATTAGAAAATTATATAATAGGACTGTAGTTATGTCCTGTAACATGTCTTGACCCTCAACCATTCTTTTTTTTCTTACCATTTCTATAATTTTTTTCCAATATATTTTCTTAATTTTATCTAGTAAGTAAATGTAATTTTCTTACCACAATCATTTACTGTTTTGGTTTTTCCACAATATATACAACTAATTCTAATTCTAATTATTTATATTAGTTTCTTTTTTATACTTTTAAATTAGTTCTACAATGTATGATCTCTCATTTTTATTTTTATATTTGCATTCTACTTCTATGTACGGTCTTTCATTTTTATTTTGTATTTGCATTATACTTCTATTTATAACACTGGGCAACAATGAAAATGTTTCAGGCTCAAAAATAGTCAATTCATATGTATTTCCATCAACTGAATTCAAAAATCACCATAAAAATGACAGATTAGCTCTTGCTTTGGAGATAAAGTGACATTTCATTTTTTAGAGTCAACATTTTCAATTTAGAGGAATTTGCATTCAGATAGTTTATCAGTTCCTACTCCATCCGAAAATTATCTGTTTGAAGTAGAAAATGAAGACAGTGTGGAACAAGAACCAAACAAGCCTTCCATATCCCGTGACACCGATTTTGAAGGAAAAGATGATAAACCGCACATACTGAGTTAAGTGGAATTGAGTGATCTCATTAGAGACCTTGGCCTGTCAAAGGAGAAGGCAGAAATTCTTGGGTCTCGACTACAGCAAATGAATCTCCTCGAAAGTGATGTCAGAATTTCACAGTACAGAAAACGTCACAGGGAACTGCTGCCCTTTTTTGAGAAGGAAAATAATCTTATTGTTTGCTGCAACATTAATGGCTTGATGAAATCTTCGAATTCGAACCATGATCCAACTGAATGGAGGCTATTCATAGACTCCTCCAAGCTTAGTTTGAAAACTGTGTTACTTCACAATGGCAACCTTCTTTCTTCTATTCCTGTTGGTCATGCAGTTCACATGAAGGAGACATATGCAAATATGACAGCCCTCTTGGACTCACTCAAATATCATGAACACAAATGGAAAATATGTGGTGATCTAAAAGTCACTGCCATACTCTTAGGAATAAAACTGGGATACACAAAATATTGCTGCTTCTTATGTATGTGGGACAGTAGAGATAGGAAATTGACTGCAAGAAATCTTAATTTTACGAGAAAAATGTCATTGCCAAGCCTCTCATGGATCCAAAAGATTTCCACTGCCACTACTACTACCTCCACCTCTGCATATCAAGCTGGGTTTGATGAAAATTTTAGTCAAAGGTATGAACTAAGAAGGACGGGCCTTTAAGTACATAAGAGAGAAATTTCTGAAATTAAATGATGCAAAAGTTAAGGAAGGCATTTTTGTCGGGCCACAAATTCGAGTACTTGTGAAGGATCCAGCATTTGCCCAAGTTTTGGAAGGGAAAGAAAATGAAGCTTCGGAAGCCTTCAAGGGAGTTGTTTATGGATTTTTAGGCAACAAAAGAGATGAGAACTACACGCACTTGGTGACAGTGCTCCTGCAAAAGTACCATAACCTTGGATGCAACATGTCTCTTAAAATCTATTTTCTCCACACCCACCTAGATTTTTTCCCTCCTAGTTGTGGAACTGTTAGTGAAGAACATGGAGAAAGATTCCATCAGGACATTTCTGTTATAGAACAAAGATATCAGGGCCATTGGAATGAAGCAATGCTTGTGGATTACTGTTGGTCTTTGTGTAGGGAAGTTCCTGAACTCCCTTCATTCAAATCTCATGAAGCCACCACATAATCTCTTCTGACATGACCATCTGCTAGGTATTCTTCCAGCAATTTAGAACTCCTAGAATGTAACTACCATTTTAAAAAATCAAATGCACATTCAATGTTGTTAGCATATATAATTAAAATGTATCTTTTTCTGAATTATTGAAGGAAGTTAGTTGACTGTCCTACATATCATGGGTGATAAATATTCAGAACGCAGTCATTATAAAGGTTTTATTGGTGCTGACGCTTCAACCCAAACATGTGGGTCATCATCAGGGCGTGTTTTGAACACTGAATGTATTCAAGTACTCAATACCTTCAGTGCTTCAGTGCTCGAAACACACCCTGATGATCCACATGTTTGGGTTGAAACGTCAGCACCAATAAAATCTTTATAATGACTGCATCCTGAATATTTATCACCCATGTATCTTTTCCTCTTACCCCGTTAATATAAAATACTTCCACCTAGTGTATATCACAGAAACCAGAACTAAGAAAAAATTTTCATTTTGACATATTCGTTTTTTTTTTTTACTCATAAAGTGCTGGAAACATTCAAAAGTTTGTTTTTTGTTGCCCAGAGTAATTTCTTAATTCTATCTTGTATGTGTATGTATATATTTATAATTATTGTATTTTTTCTATATCCTTTTCTATCTTGTTCGTTCTAGCCCTGAAGAAGACCTGCAAAGTCAGGTCGAAACATTGGCTTGAAATAAAATATTTTTTTCCACAATTTCAGTTTTTTTTTATGACTGCTATCCCGCACCATCTTCTTCCTCAATAAAAAGTTTCTATTTTTGTTTTATTCAATTTTTGGATTATAACCATCAGGTAATGTAAAACCTCATATTTCGATGAGGTTTACAATAAAACAAAAAAAACTAGGAAATCAGCAACAATAACAAATTACTAGATAGTAAAAAATATGAGCTATAACTACAAATACATAAATTAAATGCAGAAACCATTAATTAGTTGGCATTGACTATACCTGTCTATGTAATTGGCATTCTTGACACTGTGGGTCATAATCTGAACATTCATCTTGGGCTTCAGAAATAATAAAAGTTGACTGCACGGCTAAGCAACGTGTACAATTAATTAAATTATTTCTATGAAGGAAGCGTAATGCATCATCAAATCCTTGCTTGCAAAGATTGGATAGCACCTAAAAATTAATAGTTATTCATCTAAATTTAAATAATAATAATTAAAAAAAAAAACTGATCTTTTTTTTTCCTTATATAGGTGAGATTGGCAATTATAACTTCATTGTGACATGTTATGACAATTTTTTTTTTTTTATAAATCACATTGGTAACATTCCGGGAAATGTTTTACCATCATCAGAACCACATTCACTATTAAGAATACTATAATATTCTTTATAAATCAACAATTAATTATTAATACATTGTTTCCTAATTTTAAATTACTATATTTGGATTGGAGAAAGGTCTCAATATTGGTCAGTGAGTTTGGGTTCAAAGAAGAGGTGGCATTTTTCAAGATTCGGTTATCATATCTATAGAGAAGGGATGAGAGGACAGTCTTCAGGTTGTGTCATTTGAATGGGAGAACGATACAGGAATAGTTATGGGAATAACTGTTTTTGAGAATGAGGTTTTTCTTCGAGATCCATCAGATAATACGAACCATGAAGTAAATGAATTGAATTATGATTCTCAAGACTCGAGAGTTGCACATGTCACATATTTCAATTTTTATCATCAAAGGATATCAAACGATCTTCTTTCTCAGACATGTTCGATCTGCCAGTCATCTTTTCAAAATAAACGTGGGCAACCAATCCTCATATCAAAAAGAAACTCGATAGAAGTAAATAAGATCAAACTTGTATCAATTGAGAAGAAAATTAAAAATTAAAACAATAAACAGCCAACAGAGCGTAGTTGAGCTTGAAGTTAAGAAGTGGGAAATCCAGTTTAAAGATCTACTCAAGGCTCCTTGGGATTCAGACAACTTTGACACTATTATGTACGATCTTCTTTTCCTGAGAGAAGCTAATAAAATTCTTCCTGGTGCTAAACACCCAGCTGCGTAGAAGGAAAAACATGGAAATGAAGAGCAAGGGGAAACAAAATATTCATCTGGGGATGAGCAATCCCCAGAGATCTAACAAAGTTGTCAGAAAGAGAAGGGGGAAGCAATACGAGCATGAACTAGCCCAGTACAAATACTATAATTGTAGGGAAAAAGTGGTCCAAAGTATAATGAATGAAGATTATTTTAAATCTTCTTTTGAGCAAAAAAAATGATAATATGAATGAAAGCTGTGCACCCTCTTCCAATATTCTGAATATAGAAACTGTAGAGCTAAGAGTTCTTCATAAGGCAATAAAGAGTATATCTATGGAAACTTTGCCAGATCATAATGTAGTACTAATGAGAACAATAAGGAAGTTTTACTTTCCCCTATATTTTTAATAGAAATTATTGTCTGACAAAATTGGGCTAATGCAAAAAAGTTTTTGATTAGTAATTTTAGAGTCTATTATTTTTTTTAAGTTAATCTTCCACAAGCCAGTTAACTTTACTTTACTTTATCAAAGAAATCATACTCAAATCTTTTCTTTGATCAATTTTCAGGAAAATAAATCTAATTCAATTTTTTTAAAGGACATATTTAAAGATATAAAATATTTTCTGAAATCAGTAGGAAATCTGGAATTCATGGTAATGAGATGGTGGATGAATTAGCCAGATTAGGCACACAAGCGATTCCCATAACTCCTGAACCCATCTGTGGAATTAGTCTCTGTCTAATAAATAACAGAATTGGGGAGATCTATGGTGCTGAAGCCAAAAATACTGGTGCTTCAAAAAACAAATTCACTCTAGACTGTGCCTGAAAGGAATCTGTCCAAAAAGAAGCAACCTACTAATTAACTTGAGCAGGAGCTCACTTAAGGAAATTACAACAGTATAAACTGGACACTGTAAACTGAATTATCATATGTTCAATCTCCAGCTAACGGAGTCGTCTCTTTGTAGGTTCTGTGGTCAGGAGGATGAAAAAGCTTATCATATCACTTATTGTTGCGACAGATTTGCTGAACTGAGATTCCGATTAATCGGCATTGATAGGCAGATTGATCCCAAGACAAACAAGGTTATCAACCCAACAAGCTTACTTCAGTTTATTGAGACTGTGGGAATTACGCTCTAATAGGAGTGACATTATAGAGGCGTACAATAGGCCTTCATGGCCATAGTGCATTCTTGCCACAATTAAAAAAAAAAGTTTACATTTTTCTTTTTTTTTTTTTTTTTGGAGAATTTGAATCCTTAAAATCATACAAAATGGAAGAATGACCTAATATACTAATTACTTCTAGAAATTTTTTTATCTTTAATTTTTGTTTCGATTTTTTTTTTTTTACTTTAGACACGTTCGCTGCCTAGCTCCATTTTCAAAAATGGTTCCACCATGTCCATCCCAGATACCATCAAAGAACATGAAAGTACTACGAGTTTGATTGTATGTGGTGAAGGTAAAAATGTTCTACAAATTAACTTGTAGCTTGTGCCTAAGAGATAACTCGTACTTGGCAGTGAACGTGTAAGATAATTGTAATCCTTGATTTGTTGAGAGGGAACTGACAATAGTGAATATGGTTCTAATGATGGGAAAACATTTTCCTAAATGCTAAAAACATAATAAAAAATTAACAATAATATGTGACAAATAAACATAATTACTAATCTCATATAAAAAAATAAATAAATAAAAAAGATCGACTTCTTACAGAATCTTTGAAAACCAAAAGTTAACTTCGGCCACAGTTCTGCATATATGTCAAGTTTTAATAGTCACCTTCCACCTCGTATCCCATAGTTTTTTGTTTTTAGTACAAATCAATATAAGTTTTATATTTTAAAATTGATCAAGCTGACACAAAAACGGCAGCAATAAACAATAGACTGAAACTACAGTGAGTAGTGTTGATATTCACTATGTCAAGTTATAGACAGTGAAGTTACTGACTAGAAGTTTTATCACTATATTGCCATATCTTCTTATATCTCACTTTGGGCACCTCACATAAAGTTGAGTTTCAGCCACAGGAGAGATCTTATGCTCGCTAATATGTCGAAAGTCAATGTTACGCAGACAAATTTTTTTTTTATACATATGATATTATTATTAAGTTATGTCTAGTAAGGCATCTACTAAGAGGTCCCAGTAAGTTGGCTCTACCCCTCGTGATACAAGATTTATTGCTAAAAAAAAACTTGTTACAACAAACAAGTAACACCCCCAGGGACCTCCCCCCAGTGAGCAATCTAGGATCTATAACTTAAACACAGCCAGGTACATCTTACCAAGAAATGCTCTCAAAATCTAAATTCTAAACAACAGAGAAAAGAGTCCTCTGATATTCGTCAAAAATTTCAGTTTTGTGTATCCAACTATATAAAATCTGCATTGGCAGTTTTTCATGTCAACAGGATTAGTGAAACAAAAATAACACCGGACAACTGGAAGTCTATCAAAAACCAGTAAAATGCCTAACTGAAACAAATGCTGATTACTAGACTCATTTAAGAAATGTATACTCGTCAATCCCAACTGCAGTGATAAAAGAAGAGCTAACAGCATTAGGATTTAAGTACCAAAAATAACAAATGTTATGAAAGAAAATAATGAATAGTCAAGGCTAAAAAATAAAATTTCACTACCTTTATTTTTTATAGACCTAGAGTTATCACCAACCAGATTTTGAAAAAACATATGACATAGAGTGTTCTCTGTACTAGTACAAAAGTCAAAAAACCATACCCAAAAAGATAAATCACCCAGTGCCACAATTACCAGGCATACGGCCACACTAAGACTTATTGCCACCACCTACCAAGTTGTGTAAAATGCGGCGAACAATACAAACCTGGCAAGTGTACCAAACCAATAAAAAATCCTACAGTCTGCCACACATGCCTGGAATGTCATCCAGCCAACTTTAATGGTTGCCAAATTTTCAAAAGCCAAATAGATATAAGAAACCCCATAATCAGGATGAAACATCTAATGCAAGACAAGTAATACAATGAACCATGTAATACAAGCATCTTGGGTACTGCCCTCTTCACCGCTTACATCCCTATCTATTCCGATACCTTCTTGGCAATACAACAATTTTCAATCCTGTCCACCAGTTTTTTTAACATCATCCAGATTCTTTTTTCAGACTAAGTACGGCATCTTGGCTTTCACCTAGATAGAAGATTAACATAGAACCCTCATCCTAGACTTAATTGACTTAGTTGTGGACAGTTGTATTGATTGATGAATAGAAAATCACAACTTAAAAGAAAATAAATTACTGATCTACAAGACAATCCTGAAACCTATCTGAACCTATGGACTAGAACTTTGGAGGACAGCTAAATTTTGTTCGGAGTTCCCTTTGCTAATTGTAAATATTGTACATAGGTATGAGTGTATTTCTGGAACATATTTTTTTTTTTATTCATTCTAATCCTCACACGGGCTCATTACCGCGTATGGGGAGCGTCCCACAGGTGGCGGATGTGGGGATGGTCGGTGGAAATTCCTTGGAAGTTCCACCCGGCTAAGTCCGATGGACTCGCTGACCAACAATGAGAGGGGCCCTCCAGACTTGCTGGAGGGAGGGGACCTCCAGACTTGCTAGAGGTAGGGGCCCACCAGACTTGCTGGTGTGACGTAGGATTGAACGCCCTACTCACATATCTTTAGTTCACCAAACACCACAAATAGTCATGGATCTCCTTAAGGTAAAACGGAAAGGAAACTAAGTAAACTAGTCCCCCGTCGGGTCTCCGGGTGGGGACTGCTTTAGGGGATTCATGGCGCAAGTTGAAATATAGGGATTTAAATATTGGTACGTGGAACGTAAGGAGTTTAAACACAGCAGGGGAGCTAAAATCGGTCGCGAATGAGGTGAATGGGTATAATTTGGATGTCGTGGCTCTGCAAGAGGTTCGCTGGCCAGGGGAGGGCTCGATGAGGGAAGGAAAGTACACTATTTGGTACGGAGGAAGCGGGAATCACTGTTTGGGTACCGGGTTTCTAATTAGGAGTAGATTACTATCCGCTTTGAGGGACGTACAATTCTTTAGTGATAGAATTTCGGTAGCCACATTTCAGGGACGTTGGTTTAAAATCGCATAAATAAACATACATTGTCCGACCGAAGACAGTGACAATGAAGTAAAAAGTGAATTTTACGATAAACTCGAATGAATTTATGATAACCTACCGCGAAACTACATGAAAATAATTATAGGTGACGCGAACGCAAAGGTAGGAAGGGAAGAGTTTATATTCCGACGATTGGTAAAGAAAGTTTGCACGAATATAGTAATGATAATGGGATCCGTCTGATAAACTTTGCCATCTCGTAAAACCTGATAATTAAAAGTACAACGTTTAAACATAAGGATATTCATAAATATACTTGGACATCACCGGATTCGCAAACACGAAATCAAATCGATCATGTCTTGATACAACATAGCTGGCAAAGCAGTATAATTAATGTACGGTCTTATCGCGGAGCAGAATGTGGGTCGGATCATGAATTAGTAATCGCGAAACTTCGACAAAAACTTAATATAAAAAAGAGAAAAGAAAACCATTTTGATTTTGAGAATTTTAATTTGGACAAATTAAAAAATCCATCAATTAGAACCCAATTCGAGCTAGATGTTAAGAATAGGTTTGAAGCTTTAGAGCTTCCTGACGAGGACCACGATGATATTGACAAGTTATGGGTAGAGATCAGGGATAATATTAAAGTGGTCGGTAACTCGTGTCTAGGAAAAAAGGAAAATAAGAATAACAAACCGTGGTTTGATGAAGACTGCTTAAACATGTGCGAAACACGAAAAGCCGCTAAATTAAAAGCTCTAAATAATCCTAGTGAAGACAATCTGGAATACTTCCGAACCTCAAAGAACAAAACGACAAAATTGCTCAAAAATAAAAAAAAGGAATATCTTAAAAATAAAATAATTGAAATAGAAACTAATAAAATCGAAAATAACGTAAGAGACATGTACAAAGATATAAACAGATCACGTAAATGTGCAGGGTCCGTAACATCTGGAATTAGGGATGATAATAACAATATTCTGACCGATCCGGTTGACATATTGAATAAATTTAAGGACCACTTTGACAATATTTTAAATACGGGAAATTATGATCTGTGTCCTCCTTCTGAGTACTGAACTAATTAAGGCATGCGGGGAAGATGGAGTTTCTAAAACACATCGGTTGGTTAAAAAGATCTGGGTGAATGAGAAATTACCTGAAGAATGGAAAGAATCTATTCTTATTCCGATTCACAAAAAGGATCCGAGGACGGATTGTAATAACTATCGAGGAATTTCACTCCTTCCGGTATGTTATAAAATATTCACTTTAATCTTAACCAGTCGAATCACGGAATACGCCGAGGAAATTATCGGAGACTACCAATGCGGATTTAGACGGAATCGTTCGACAATTGATCAAATATTTTCTTTACGGCAAATATTAGAGAAAAAATTGGAGTATAACGGTATTGTTCACCAGCTGTATATAGATTTTAAAAAGGCTTACGATTCTATTGACCGCCAGAAACTGTATAATATTCTAATCGAGCAGGGGATTCCAAAAAAACTAGTAAATCTAGTCAGGATGTGCTTGACGGAGACACTCAATAAAGTTAGAATCGGTAATAATTTGTCCGAAAAATTTGAGGTTCGTTCGGGTTTAAAACAGGGGGATTCTCTTTCGCCTGTCCTGTTCAATTTGGCATTAGAACATGCCATTAGGGAGGTAATGCGAACCGAGAAAGGGTTGGATCTGGGCGGGACAACATCCGTGCTGGGCTATGCTGATGATCTGGTACTGTTAAGCGAAGACGTTGAAACTATAAAACTAAATACGACAACGTTAATGAAAGCCGGTAAAGAACTAGGACTCGAAATAAACGTGGATAAAACAAAATATATGGTTAGCTGCAAAAATGGCGATACTACTGGTTATATCGATATAGATGGTAATATGTTTGAGCAGATAGATAAGTTTAGGTATCTAGGTTCTACGATAACTAGAAAAAACGAAATTGAAGAAGAAATTAAGGTTAGACTGAAGGCGGGAAATGCTTGTTATTTTTCTGTGACAAAACTACTTAGTTCGCGCCTTTTGTTTCCGAAACTTAAAAATTAGAATCTATAAAACAATTATCTTGCCTACAGTTCTTTATGGATGCGAAACTTGGCCGCTTACATTAAGGGATGAGCAGCGTCTTAAGGTTTTTGAAAATAAAGTATTGCGTAGAATATTCGGACCGAAGAAGGATGAGTTAACCGGAGAGTTCAGACGGTTACACAACGCCGAATTGCGTGAACTGTATCCGAGTAATATAATTGAGATAATTTCATCGCGGCGAATCAAATGGGCTTGTAAAGTTGTTGGACTTAATAACGAGAGAATTCCTAAAAGGTTAATATTTGCTGTGCCGAATGGTAAGCTTCCGAGGGGTAGACCGAAGCAAAGGTGGGAAGATTGCATTAAAGCTGATCTGAAGGGACTGGGTTTGGACGGCGAACGGTGGAGGGAGGTGTGTAATAAGCGATTGGTGGTGTCGGCATCGAACCTTCGTGTTCACTAAACCTTTTTATTATTTTATTTATTCATTCTAATATTTTTTATATACTATTAGTTTAAATTTTAATAACAGAAAATCTTTTAAGAAAAAAAAATATATCTTTGAAAAGTTGTTGAAATGCTTAGGAAATTCGCAGTAACTCAATTTCCTTTCACTATTAATAGGTTTTTGGTTTTTAGGCTTAGAACAACAAAATAATAGTCATCAGTCCAAGAAGGCTGAAGAGCTTAAATATGTTCATATTTATTCTTAACTTATTTCTTAAAAACAAAACATATGAGAATAATTGATATTATACCTCTGGTTTTGGTGGCCATAATATCCTGGCAAACCTGTATATGTTTTGTTTGGAGAGTTCTATGCTTGTATTGGCAAAATTGACCTAAAATAAAATTTTAAGTAGATATCTAAAAAAACATTTATAGAAAAGTAAAAGTAAAAATGTATATACGACAATTTATAAACATGGTAAAGAACAGAACATCATGGTTGAAAGCATTTTGAAATGAAGGAATAAATGAAGTTTATCTAAAATACAGTAATCCCTTAACATTCCTTAGGGATATGTTCCACAAAAATCATATGAATCTCAAATTCGTAAATGCTGAGTCTATCTTCCTGTGTAAATAGTAGGGTTACATTTTAAAAAGGCCCACTAAGACAAAAACGCATATTTGTTTTAAATATTATGCATACAGAAATAAAAATATAACTTAAATTATATGCATACAAACATCATCACACATAAAATTAAACATTTGTAAATTTAAATTAATTTTTAAAGATTGTAAAAAATAACATGTTATCTGTGATGGCTAGATTTTGTGTCTTTTGGAGTTCAACATATATGGTTGTTGAGGCTCCAATTTCCCTCTTACAGCTTAAATTTTTAAAAATAAAGACAAAATATTTTACAACTTTTTTAAATAGTTATTGTTGAAGAGTTGGAAATGTTGCCAAAGTGGGAGTAAGTAAGATCATCTTTTCATGTAATAATAAGATGTAGTTCACCTTAGAAAAAAAATTCTCTGTAAGACAACCAAATTATCCTTAAAACATAATAGTGGTTAAATAGTTGACTGTCGTGAATAATGAGAAGAAGAATAGTTGGGGTGATCAGTCAAATAAGAAGGCAAAAATAAATGATAATATTTATTTTGTCATTTGCCGACGTTTCGACCTGAGTTCAGGCCATCATCAGGGCTAAGAAAAGAACCAGATAACAAGGTATGAGAAACATAAAAATTACAGTAAAATGAAGTTGTTAGAATAATGACAATTGTAAGAACAAGAGACAAATAGTAATAACAGGTACAAAGTGTGGAATGATAAAGTAAACATAGTCAAAAAGGTGACATAAGTATTGTAAAGGGAATCTTAGAATAAAATGTAAAACAGAAAAATATGAAGTTATATAAGAAATGGAAATAAATAGTAAAATTAAGATATAGTGAATAGAATATTTAGATAGAAAATTGAGATGTAAAGTCTATCAATATGTACAGACAAATTATGAAATAATAAAGAGTTAAAACAGAGAAAAGGAATGAAAGGAAGGAGGAAAGAAACTGAGAAGGTTGAAATAAGTAAGAGAAGAGATAACACACCTGACTGCTCTAAGGTTGAAGATGCAATGCTTGTGTTATTGAAGGAGGGGGGTGGATAGAAGGGATGTACAGTGGCGTCATCTCCAACGGTTATCTGACGAAGTTTGAACTAACGTACCGGAAGCGTAAATAAGAACGAGAGATATATTATTCATAAATATTGAGGAATAAAACGAAAGTTGATAGAAAGAGGCAATAAAATAGTTTAAAATAATATAAATTTATAATAAATAATTTATAAATTATAACTAAATTTGTAATACATTTAAATAGTTGATAGAAATTCTGGAGAGGCAATAAAACAAAGAAAATAACTGTTGAGTAATAATGGAGAATAATTGAAATTAATACATATCATATAAATATAAATATAAATATATATATATATATATATATATATATATATATATATATATATATATATATATACATATACATACATACATACACATGCACACATACATATATACATACATACATATATATATTGTAATGTCAACATTACATGACATTTAGATAGTGGCGCGAAAGTGGTAACACGAACTACGGGAAGCAAGTGGTGGGGGAAGCAAGCCTCGTGTAACTCAGACTGCGACGGGCCGCCGGGAGAGAAGGTGATAGCGGCCAAGAGAGAATGTGACAAGCTGTCAAGAGGGAAGGTGACGAGCTGCCAAGTGAGAAGGTGTCAGCCAGCAAGTTGAGAAAATAGAAAAAGGAGTCCTAGCCGGTTCGAGTGTTGATATAGGCCACTAGTGAAGATTATTTTATGTTGGAAGAAAAAAAACATAGCAGAAAAGAATTAAGTGGTGCAGAAAACGGGACATTCGTAAGTAAGAAGAGATTATTTCGCTGGCAGGCGTAAACATTTGGGTGAGTGCTAACAATGCCATTTATGTTGACAAAGGGATAGAACCAAAAGTTTAGACCGGGACAAATTATTTTATAAAAGTATTTTAAATTATATATTAGTGTAGATTATAGTTATTTAATGTTGAATGAGTGTTCAGTTGTAAGAGCCCAACCTGAGATTTATGTTTTATGTGTTAAAATAAATAATATATTGAAAAAGGAAACTTTTTGTTTGATTTATGTTGACAAAGGGAATGTTACAACATGGCGTCCAACTAGCGTGGCTTTTGAAAATGTACGTAGTCACGACAACTGAACACGCAATCCTTGTTAATTTTATTTTATTTCTTTTATTAATAATTTTTGAGTAATATGGAGAATAAGCAGAGAGAGATAATAGAAGTTAGAGATCTTAATAATGTAATTCTTGGAAAATCTAATGGGAATGTTGTTATTGTAGAAAATGAGGCAGAATCAGTTGTACAAAGCCTACTTGATGAATATAGACAGGGTGAAAGTCGGTCGGGATTAAATGAAATAAATGAGTTTAGTGAAAATAATATGGAGGGTGAAAAAATAAATATAAGTAGTAGCAACAATTTGAATTGTACGGATATTAATAATATGTTTCAACAAATAATGACTATTCTTCGTAGTATTGAAAACAAGCAGGAGGCTTGGAAGCGGGATTTGGATAGTCAAATTCAAGAAACTAAATTAAAAACCCAAATTATTGCAAAGATAACTGAAGTTCAAGAAACTACACTGGCTGAAAAAACTTCTAATAATGAACAGGAAATTTTGAAACAAGATTGTGATAACCTAGAAATCCAAATTATTGCAAATATAACTGAAGTTCAAGAAACTAAACTGGCTGAGAAAACTACTTTTGGTCACTCAGAAAGTGATGAGAAGCAAATTGTTACTGAAGAGCTTAGCAAAAGTAATTCTTCAATTGATATTGGATCAGAAAATCTCTTATGAAGAAAAATTAGTGACAACAGAATTTCTAGTAGAAACTCAAACAGTTAATCTTATAGATATAAAGAAAGAACTTCTCAAGTTTCAAATTGAGTTCATAGGAGTAAAATCCAGCAGAGAAAAGCATGGTAATTATTTTATTTCAGAAGTTCCTTTAATTCCAGAAAAGTTAACTCAACGATTTAAAGATGAGTTAGGAAAGTTTGATGACTGGAGTAAGAAAAGAACAGGATTATATGAAATGTCATTCCATGGACTCACTAAGTATAATTTTGAGTGTAATGGATTACCAGTCATCCTACTTATTCTAAAATATGATTTTTATGGGGGTTATATTATCCTGGATCATGTTAGGGCAGGTCGTTCATTATGTTATAGTCAAACACGGTAGTCTTTATCCTATCCAGAGGATAAAAAAGGGTGTTAAATTAGCGTCCCTTCCGTTGACGAGCTAGAGGGTCCTGGCGAAACCATCGCCAGGTTACCCATTCTGGATACTTGTAAATAATTAGCTGTAAATATGATTTCGTAAATAGTCTAATTACATTGTTGGTAGATAGGATAATAGATTAATATCTAAAAGTTAAATAAGTTGTTTTGGCCGGATATTGCTAGGTAAAATCCAAATTTTAGAAGAAAGTTAAGAAATTGTCTTAATTAATTAGTGCCTTCTCTCTGATTATTCCTGTAATACAAGTTAAAATATATGTTTGAATGTAATATAAGTAATTTAAACAGTTAATTATACATAAGATATGGGAATTGTACGGTAAAATTCTTTTGGTAAATAATGTATTTCGCTTATTTTATTATTTGTATATCAATCTACTTTTCCTGTACATAAATTAGATGAATAAGTTATGTAACTACTGTATGTAGATTAAGGTAATATAGTGTAAATAATTCAATATTTTGTATATAAAATTGTAAATGTTTGCTAACAAGGTTGGGAAATCTATTGTGAAAAGTGTGAATGTCAAAAGTTAAATTTATTATTTTATATGAAAAAAAAAAAAATGTAAATATTTCACCGAATTTTAAATTTCCATTTTTTTTTTTTTTAAACTGGAAAGGAGGAGAATGTTGTAACCTTCCCTTTGTCAACATAAATCAAACAAAGAGTTTCCTTTTTCAATATATTATTTATTTTAACACATAAAACATAAATCTCAGGTTGGTTTCTTACAACTGAACATTCATTCAACATTAAATAACTATTATCTACACTAATATATAATTTAAAATACTTTTATAAAATAATTTGTCCCGGTCTAAACTTTTGGTTCTATCCCTTTGTCAACATAAATGGCATTGTTAGCACTCACCCAAATGTTTACGCCTGCCAGCGAAATAATCCCTTCTTACTTACGAATGTCCCGTTTTCTGCACCACTTAATTCTTTTCTGCTATGTTTTTTTTCTTCCAAGATAAAATAATCTTCACTAGTGGCCTATATCAACACTCGAACCGGCTAGGACTCCTTTTTCTATTATCTCAACTTGCTGGCTGACACCTTCTCACTTGGCAGCTCGTCACCTTCCCTCTTGACAGCTTGTCACATTCTCTCTTGGCCGCTATCACCTTCTCTCCCGGCGGCCCGTCGCAGTCTGAGTTACATGAGGCTTGCTTCCCCCACCACTTGCTTCCCGTAGTTCGTGTTACCACTTTCCCGCCACTATCTAAATGCCATGTAATGTTGACATTACAATGTCTACAATATATATGTATGTATGTATATATGTATGTGTGCATGTGTATGTATGTATGTATATGTATGTGTGCATGTGTATGTATGTATGTATATGTATGTGTGTATATGTATATATATATATATATATATATATATATATATATATATATATATATATATATATATATTATATATATATATATATATATATATATATATATATATATATATTTATATTTATATTTATATGATATGTATTAATTTCAATTATTCTCCATTATTACTCAACAGTTATTTTCTTTGTTTTATTGCCTCTCCAGAATATCTATCAACTATTTAAATGTATTACAAATTTAGTTATAATTTATAAATTATTTATTATAAATTTATATTATTTTAAACTATTTTATTGCCTCTTTCTATCAACTTTCGTTTTATTCCTCAATATTTATGAATAATATATCTCTCGTTCTTATTTACGCTTCCGGTACGTTAGTTCAAACTTCGTCAGATAACCGTTGGAGATGACGCCACTGTACACCCCTTCTATCCACCCCCCTCCTTCAATAACACAAGCATTGCATCTTCAACCTTAGAGCAGTCAGGTGTCTTATCTCTTCTCTTACTTATTTCAACCTTCTCAGTTTCTTTCCTCGTTCCTTTCATTCCTTTTCTCTGTTTTAACTCTTTATTATTTCATAATTTGTCTGTACATATTGATAGACTTTACATCTCAATTTTCTATCTAAATATTCTATTCACTATATCTTAATTTTACTATTTATTTCCATTTCTTATATAACTTCATATTTTTCTGTTTTACATTTTATTCTAAGATTCCCTTTACAATACTTATATCACCTTTTTGACTATGTTTACTTTATCATTCCACATTTTGTACCTGTTATTACTATTTGTCTCTTGTTCTTACAATTGTCATTATTCTAACAACTTCATTTTACTGTAATTTTTATGTTTCTAATACCTTGTTATCTGGTTCTTTTCTTAGCCCTGATGATGGCCTGAACTGCAGGTCAAAACGTCGGCCAATGACAAAATAAATATTATCATTTATTTTTGCCTTCTTATTTGACTGATACCCCAACTATTCTTCTTTTCATTATCCTTAAAACATTTAATTTTCAACTTTTATAAATCTCATTTATATTTAGGGTTTCTACAAAAGTTCATTAGTCGGATTCCTAGACTTTTCCCTACCATAGATAAAATACCCTGACTCATCTTCCCCAATAAAGAAATTAAAAAAAGGTGAAATATAATAAAAATCTTTTGTCAAAATATTTGTTAATAATTATCATAAAAACTTAAATTTTAAAAATACAATTCAAACCAAACTTTAGCATGTTCCTTCAATGTCAAAAAACATCGACTATTACCATCCACTATTAAAAATCATCAATGTTTTCCACTATATCTAACTAACAGAAAGAAGGTATAAATATTACATCAATAATTTTTATCATAATGATACTGGATCATTTTTTTATGCCTAACTTTCGTCCACGTTTGTGCTAAACCAATGAGCTGTGTTATGAAATATAGGAGTACATCAATGAAAAAGTGTTTGTACATCTATGAGCAAAAGTAATGGGTGGAATTTGATACCTACTTGATCATTTTTTTTACTTATTCCTAACTTCCTCTCAACTAAAGGCCAAATCAAACGAGCTGTTTTTGAAATAAAGGCAGTAGTAATGGATGAAATTTGATAAAATTGACATTCTAAGGTTATAATGACTTTTTTAGTAGTAAATAATTAAATTCAAATTTTTTTTGCCATTTGGTCAAATGGCCAGCCAAATACCAGAAGAGGTGTGCCGTAAACACGTCATTGTCTAATATTACTAGACTAACTGTCTTCCTTCCTGATCAATATGAGTCGGAAAGATCAAAATAACCAGATATGAACTTGGAAACAAACATTGGATCCTAGCCCAACACATCAACCAAACAAACACATCTTAGCCCATGCTCACAATATCCTTCTTCTAGTGAGAGAGAAGCTATTACCAAAATTACAAGTTCTGACCAACCACAATCTCTTATCATCTAAGAAAAATGGGCTACAGCTAACAAACTAGACAATTTAGTATAGACAAGACAAAATACATGCTATTTACACGATATATATTACATAGAAATATCCTAAGTTGAACATTAGACTCTATTCCAAAACACTAGAACAAGCGGAAACAATGAACTATCTAAGATTGATTTTTGACCGGTAACTGAATTGTAAAACTCACACGGACATAGTAGTTAATAGATCCCTGAAGACCATAAATGTCCTCAGTATTGCAGCAAGGCTAACTTGGGAACTAAGGACCCAGGTATTAAGCTAATCTACGAAGGTGCTATAATACCAAAACTCTTATACACTATACCAGTGTGGGAATCAGGTGCCAAGAAGCAGAGCAACCTCACAAAACTGCAAAGAGTACAAAGGCTTATGGCCATCAGGATAACCAAAGCATTTAGCACAATATAATATGATGCAGCTTGTGTCTTAGCAGGTATACTTCCAATATGTTACAAAATCACAGAACGGACTACAATATACAAAATATAAAAACACGAAATGGGATACAATGACATAGTACACAACATTCAAACAAGACCAACCTTGAGAACAACGGTTACACCCATCAATACTAGCCAAACTAGTACAGTACTTGGAAGAAACAGTAGAAATACAAACAAACATTGTGGACACTTGCATAGACGGAAGTAAACAAGAAAATAAAACAGACTGCGCATTTATTATAGATGGAAACAGCGACTATTATGAAGAACCATACAGACTAGGACAGAATTGCTCCAATAATCAGGCAGAAAAGGTGCCGGTTCTAAAGGCTACAGACCACATTTTACGACAAAACAGAATCTATTTCTATCATCTATACTGACAACAAAATAGCTATTTACTCAATAAAAACCAATAAAATACAAGAACCACTAAAAGTTCAAATTAGAAACAATTTTATCAAACGAATGAACTTAGACATAAAACACAACTGATTTGGGTAAAGGGACACAGTGTCCACGGAAACGAAAAAGCTGATACAATGGCAAAAGTAGCTGCTTGTGATATTCAACTACCCTATGAATATAATTTAACCCCTTCACTTACGTTAAAAAACTCTTATGGACTAATTTAATCGAAGAGTGAAACAGACATCGACAACAATCTACCAAAGGACGACCATTACATATATACATTCCAAATATCACCCCACAAAACTACAATACAACAAAAAGCACCCATTATAAACTAACACAATTCCCTACTGAACACGGCCCCGAATAACCAATATCTAAAGAGATTTCACTTAAAAGCGACAGATGCATGCGATTGCGACAGACTGACTCCACAAACTTTCATACACATTTTAAACGACTGCCAGTTATATGAACACAAAAGAGCTTCACCTTCCTGAAATCCTCTTTAACGCAAGGGAACACATGGCCTCTTCCCAAACCCCTAACATAAAAAAAGTACAAGAAGCAGTTAAAAGAATTCATTAATAGCATAGAATTACAATGCAACATTCAAGAGTAGAACTTTAATAAATCTATGAGCATAAACAATTAAAATAATGTTTTAGTTATTCTTTAAATCAGACAGAATATTTATTTAAAATGCGCTTTTGGAGTTTATCAATGCTAAAGATGAGAAATTCTATTTCAAGGGAATGTAAAAGATGCCAACACGTTGGCAGAAATGTATTTATAGCAGTGGAGACTATTTTGATTAAATAAAATAGCTGTAAATCTTCAGTCTGTCATTGAGATTCAATGAGAGGCCACCTTATACAACACATCCATAGTCAAAGTGGGGAAAGATGAGGTAGTAAACTAAGAGTCTATGTAGTAAATGGCTGAAACGATGGAATAATTTGGAAGAGGAAATTGACCATCGAGAGATATAAAATGTAAATATGCATGTTCAGTGGATACAGATACTGTACTTGGAATTTTTGTTATTATCCACGAATACTCTGAAATCCTTCAGTATTTTTGTATTTGTCCATAATCTAAATTTTGCGAATATTGAGGGATTACTTTACTGTACAAAAAATAAAATAAAATAAAAAAATACTTACATGGAACAGTTGTGATGAAAAATCACGAGGACAAATGTCAGTTTCTCCACAAAATGGACTAACTGTTATAGTATTTTCATCTAATGTTGGTAAATTATCACTAAATCCCCCATCCATATATCGCTCTCCATGAAACTTTGGAGGGAGAAACCCAGAAAAAACAGGCACGAACGCACTTGCTAGCAAAGCCTAAAAAACAAAAATAAAAAAAGGAAATTAATTACACATATTTTTTCTTCTAGAATAATACCTTTGGGAACTAATCTTTTATCAACATTTTCATGCAATAAGTATTTGTTTTTGAATTACTCAATTAACTGAAGAAGCTTATAAAAAATTGACATGGAAAAACAAGCTCCACCACAAAATTTTTCTGAGAAATTCTTCTATGGCTCCTGCAAGTCCTGATACAGTCCATGTTATGGAAATTGTGCAATACAATTTTAAATTGTGCATCCACCATTTATTTTGGTTTTCCTTAGAGCTGCTTTTAATACAACATTGAAAAGCACTGAACATAGCAGATCCTCCATTCAAAACTGGATGAACCAGCCAGTCATTTTAAACTGTCCTTATACATTACTTCCAAGTTCCTAGCTTCTCCAGATGTTCATATATTTCTTTCTTCCTGGGGAGGAGGGGGGAAGTGCACGGTAGGGGGGGTTTGGCCTACAGACAAAGAGTCCTGCCTTTTCTTCCACGAGTGGAGGGAAAGGCTTGGCTCGGAGATCTTAAGTGAATGAATTTTGTAATATTGTATAAAAGCATCTGTGTAATCAAGTAGTTATTTTAATTTGTTTAGTTTAGTTTATATACATTAACTTTTAGTAATATTATTTTGCTGTTTATTTATTTGTATTTATTGTACATAGTGTGAATGAGCTACTCTTATATCACTATTATCATTGTCCTTAGATGTGAAAGATAGTAATATATCTCAATAAAGAATTTCTGCTAAAAAAAAAAATTTAGCAGAGAATTTTTACCAGGAATTTTAATAAAAATAAATATGGGAATAACATAAAGATATAATACCTGAAGAAGATCATTTTTGCCAGTAAACTGAGAAACAATTACATTTTTTCCATCATATACTCTCGTAAGAGATATATGTAATTTTCCATTTACTCTTAAATGAGCATCTTCTGGTAAAACCTGGAAAATAAAGTGAATAGCGAATAAATAATTATAAAAAAATTAACATAATGATTGAACTTCTAAGTAGTCCAATCAATGAGTACCCAAAAATGATCTTAATGATTATGAGTATTCAAAAATGTATCTAATAAACATTTGTTTTAAATATTCACTTTTGTGAAACCTTCTTTTGTTTAAATGTAGGAAATCTGGTTTCCATTTAAATTTACTAGTCAATATATCTAAACAAAATTCACACTTCTACACAGCACTTGATTTACAACAAACTGGATAATATATATATAAAAAGGGAGTCCAGAATGATCAAATGGGTTAAAACATGCACTTGCAATAATGCACTAGCCTACACAAACCCAAAGGCTGTGGGTTCAAATCCACAAGCAAATAATTGAAAAAAAAAAAGGAATATTTCATAAATCTGCTTCACTTCATCCCAAATATGTGATGCTTGTCAGCTTCTTGGAGGTAACTTATACCTGCGTAGGAGTGATGACCCTACTCCTTCTACTTTAATGTGGTTTTGAAGGATGTCAATAGTCTCCTCCTCCTACCCAGAGGTCCAAGGGAGCTCTGTTCCAGGGAAAGAAATATATTGGCCAGTTTGGCCCCAAAAGTATCGCCTATAAAGCTATTGGTGGCCCGCTTTTTTTAGACTATACTCTACTAAACTATGGTTTACTAAAACCTATATAAAATTCATATCAATATCAATCTTGATTCTAATGGAATGATTCTACATTTTTGAATTGTGAATTTCACTGTTCATGAATAAAGAAAAAAGTAAGGCGCTGAAGTAATTTCAATTACAGTATGAAAGCATATTCCATCTATGCTGCTGCAATATAGATCTGTAAGAAAACCAAATAGGGCAGCCTAAGATCTACATAGTCTATAGCGCCAATAGAAAAAATGAAATAAAAAAAAATATACATACATACATAATGTACTGATTTTTATTTATCAAGTATTCACATTCAAAAATATATGTTGGAGTTAGAAATAAAGTGGAGTGAAGGATGATCTTCCTCCAGCCGCTAGCCAGGATGGATCATCTGTTTGTTCCGGTACGCTCTCAGGAAAATATGCCCGCAGGAGTCAGGAGAGTATTAACTAATACAAGACTATTTGAAGTATTAGTATCAGTGAAGTAGCAGTATCAGTATCAAGATTATACAGTCTTGTACATGAGATCAGATTTACCTGAGAGACTGTATCAAGAAACCATAGATCTTTCCAACGATTTCTGTTAGCTGCAAGTATTTTGTCGTTGGTTTCCTTCCTCTTATCTTTGTACTTGTGGTGGGTGTTCTTTGGCTCAAGATGTTTTTCCATGCTGCTTTATTCTCGTTTACAGCCTTCTTCACACCGTCCATCCACCAGGCACTTGACCCAATATTCTTCTGTCTACAGACAAGTTTTGCAGCATCGAGAACTCCTTTATCATCTTCCTTTTTTTTTTTTTTTTTTTTTTTTTTTTTTTTTCCGGCATAAGTGCACTGCGACCATTTAGGCCTATTGTACGCCTTATTCAAAGTCACTTAGTTTAGAGTGTAATTCCTGCAGTCTCAATGAACTGTAATAAGTTTGTTAGATCGATAAACTCGTTTGCCTTGGGATCCTTCTCCTGTCAATGCCGAATAAACGAAATCTTAAGCCAGCAAATCTATCGCACCAGCAAGTAACATGATATGCTGTCTCATCCTCCCGGACACAGTACCTACAATGAGACAACTCCGTGAGTCGAAGTTTGAACATATGATAATTCAGTTTACAGTGCCTAGTGTATGCTGCTGTAATTTTCTTAGGTGAGCTCCTGCTCAGATTAATTAGTAAGTTAGTTCTTTTTTTTTTTGACAGATTCCTTGATCTGTCCAGAAACAGTCTAGAATGGGTTTGTTTTTTCAAGCTCCAGTTCTTTTTGTTTTCAAAACCATATATCTCCCCGATTCTGTTTGTTGTCAGACACTGACTAATACCACAGATTGGTTCAGGAGCTATGGGTTTCATTTGTGAGCCTTGTCTAGCTAGTACATCAGCCACCTCATTACCATGAATTCCAGAGTGGCCCAGAACCCATTCAATGTTTATCTTATTAAGTCTGGATAAGTCGTTGAGAATTCTAACACAATCCCCAACTACCTTAGATCTAGTTGTATAGTTGTCTTGTGCTCGTATAGCAGCTTGACTGTCAGTATATATTGCAATTCTCCTCCCAACTGACCTGTCAAGCAACATTTTTGAAGCACAGTGAGTTATCGCCAGTATTTCAGATTGAAACACTGTTGCGTAATTTCCAAGTGGTATTGACATGCCAGCCTCTAGTTCGTCCCTTCTCTGAAAACCAGCTCCAGATCCGCATGTCATGAGTGACCCATCAGTATAACAATTAATCCCATTAATGGGTTTGTGTTTACCTGAGCTCTCTATTTTTACATTAAACGTCTTTGTGAGAAATTCTCAGGTTTGAGTGGCAAAATGTATTATGAGCAGCCTGTCCGCCTCAATTTTTTTAATTATTTCGCATGTCCCTACAGGGTGTTTATCTTTGAGCATAAGTTTAATTTCTGTAACCTATAAAAAGTTTTCATGGCCTGCTTTTTAATCTTCAATTGCAGTGGTAAAATACCTAGCATTAAAAAAAAAGACCTCCAAGTGGTAAAAGACCTCCATGGCTGCAATCGGAGTAGTTTTCATTGCGCCGGTTATCATTAAACAGGCTAATCTCTTTACTTTTTCCAATCTCCTTCGGTACCTCTCAGCGTGGACTGCCAAGCTTCCTGATCCCGAACCAGTGAATTCATGAACTTTCCCTTCTTTTCACCAATCCTGGAGATGTGGTCCATCCATAGCAATCTAGGTCTTCTTCGAGAATGGTGTCTGGTAGGCCTGGCTTCAAAAAACTTCACTGGATCATGATCCTCATCCATTCTGCATAGATGACCAACCTATCCCAACTGCCTGCTTTTCGAATGCCTCTCTGTCTCTCCATATCCTTTCATTCCTAACTCTGTCCCTTCTTGTTTTGCCTCTTATTCTCTGGAGGCACTTCATTTCTGCAGTAGTAGCTCTACTCCAGTGCCTGTCCAGCGCTCACTTCCATAAATAAGGGAAGATAAGTATATGGACTTAAAGATTTGGAATTTTAGACTATTTTCCAATTTGCTTTTTCCCACCACAGTGCTCCATAGCTGGTAGTATATGCTGTTAGCTTTTTAATCCTGTTGGAGAGCTCTTGGTACATTTTCCCATTTCTGTTGAGCAATACTCCGAGATAAGTGTACTCCTGCCCTGCCTCCAAGGTTTCTCCTCCGCAGTGAACCAAAACTTCCTCCTCTTCATGACCAATGTGCATCATCTTGCTTTTTCTAACATTTAATATCATGCCTTTTCTTTTTAGTTCAGCCTTCCACACATTAACCGCCAGCAGTAGATTTTCTTTGGAACCGGCAATGAGGACAATATCATCACCATCACTTGGTACATCATATCATTATACCATCACTTGAGCAAGGATTGTCCTCATGTTCCACCTTACCATGACTGTCCGTGTTGTCCTCCTCTGCTTGCATATTCTCGATACATAAATATTTTCAAAAGGAGATGACTAAGGCTGTTACCTGATTCTTTGTCATTCTCATAATGTAGTTTCACTGTTTTTTATTTAGTTTGTTTTTAGCTCACACGGCCCATCGGATGAAATTGGAAATGAGGTGTTTATTGGTTTTAAATATAGAAACACTAGAAATAATTTGATTGAAATTGCTGATGATTGACCATATACTCCCTTTGTTAGTTAAAAGTGGAATAAAAAAATTTTAAAATATGAAATAATAATATAAACAAAATCAATACATAATTCATAGAATGCGTGTTATAAGTGTATTAGTACCAAGCAAGCATTGCTTGTATAAAAATCAAAAGAAAAAACAAAAGTTTATAAACTACTGGGGAAAACAAGTGTAGAAAGTAGGTCTCCAGGTAAATTTTGCAAAATGCAACCAAGAATGAAACCCACACTGCTATAGGTTTCACCCCTTTGTAAGTTTGTTGAAATAAAAATTTAAATCAATCTAATTCCTTCTGACATACAGCTAATGTATTTTAATAATGAAAATAAAGCAAAGAAATGTAAAATATTTTATTTTTGTTACATATAGAAAAAAAATGTCTAGTATTAAGTAACTTACTTTGCTAAGTCTATCAAGCAAATATTCTTGTACATTGAAAGAAGGGCTGAAAGGTCCAAGTGTTCTCAATCTTGCTTCTCGAATTAATCCGAGCATGTCACTTACAACTTCACCTAAATTATGCAAAAAAAATTTGGGATAAGGTAGCAATAATTTCTTATAAACACTACTAACACAATTAAATTACTATTTTTTGTAACAATATTAAAAGTAGTTTTTTTCAGTTGGCATTATAGACTTTGAAAATCTTTTACCACCTTAACAAGGCTTCTCCTTCTCTGCCTATCTTGGGCTATTTCTTACCAGTTATGTAGCTCTATTGCATCTTTGTTGATTCTGCTTTTTGGTCTTCCAAGTGGTCTTTTGCCTACTATTAAGGAATTAATTGTTTTGTAAAGGCTTCCAGATGGATTGCTCCACTGCTACATGCCCAACCCATCTTAACCTCCTTGCTTTAATATGATTATAATTACCTTTGAAAATGGGCACAATGTGAATACTATCATTATACTTAATACTTAACAAAACATAGTAGTAAAATTACCAATCTTAAGACTTATATAATAGTCATACATGAAAAAACAATCTAATAGCATTTAAGATGCATATCACATACTTATAAACAGTAAGTTTACAGTCAGGTACAGATCACAGTTTATGGTTAAGATGCTAATTAATAAAAAGTCATTACAGTTCTCGAGCTGGTTCTACACACATTAGAGGTATTTTTTGCAGGATTACAAGGCCAATGGTTTATTTATTTCTTTATTTTTTGTTTTGTCCTCCCCTTCCTCGTCTTTAAGGCTATACAGGGTTTTCCTGGGCCAGGGAGTGTGGGCTGTGATTTAAAAGACGCCCCTGGCACCGGAACGCGAACTCGTGACTATATTTTATCATTGTATCATTAACAGGTTGCCGGGCAACGGCAGTGCTGTGCACACACGTTAGCCCATTCGGCCTCAACCAACTCCTCTTCATTATTTTCACAACAGCCAACTATTAATCCGCTACTAAAAAGCTAATATACAAAGCTTTGGTAGAAAGCTTAACGCTGTATGGTTCAGAGATATGGCCCCCAGTATGACCCAGTGAAAACATTCCTTTCAGTTGAAAAAGATTTTTGGAGGCGAGCAGCTAGGATATCCAAGATCGAAAGGAAAAGAAATGTCACTTAAGGGAGAGATTAGAAGTAAGATGGAATGGAAGAAAGGAGACTCAATGTCAGCCATGTGAGATGAATGGGTCAAAATAGCACCAAAAATAATTATGGATTGGGAGGCAGAGGGTAGAGGGAAAGGAAACCCTCCTACCCATCCCTCCTCCCCGTTAGATGGATTGATTCGTCAGTGAAAAACACTTTCGACCACTTTTCTGCAGACCAGTTTTTGTTTTTTTTCTTAATAGGAGTTTTTTAGGAGCTACATAGACTTTTAAACCATAATCACGAAGTCAACGCTGTACAGTACTGATGGACACAGTTTATTATTTGACCCATATTTCTATAATGAATCCTGTAAAATATTATAGACATTTGTTTTTAATATTTACGCACTATTTTAAATTAAAATTAATTTTATAAATCTTTAGTAACAATTTTTTAAATGTTTTATGTACATGAGCTTATCTTAGAATGAGTCTCAGAAAATAAATAGTAAAGATAGTATCAATTAATGTAATTGTTATTAAATATACTTTTCTTTAAATAGGGGCACTATTATTAGTTCACCTGATCATTCACAAAATAAAGAGATACTGAAGAAATAGTAAATAGTTTTAAGTTGAACCAGGATGTTTGTTGATGTTGATGTTTGATATATTATCTCTTGGGTTAGAATTATTTTATTAATCTTGAAGATTGTGAATTAAATACGAGTCTAATCTTTTGACCAGTACTGTAGAGTTATAGTTTGGTCATTCTTGATAATATGTACTGCATCTAAAGTGACTCTTAAGACCAAAAGCACCTATTGGCAGCCAAAATGTGTCTCTTATCTTCAAACCATAGTCTTGTGTTACCGGTGAGCCAAGTTCAAAAATTCCAGCTACATTTTCTAATTTGTTGTGGTCTATCACAATGGTTTCTTCAGAAACTATATATTTTATTTTGACTTCATTAATTTCAAGTCATAGTTTTCTAGACACATTAACAAGTGCCATAAGCAAAACAATAATGGCAGTCTCGTCCTTAGGGTGGAGCAGCCAGGTCAAACATCCCAGGGGACCTGCTTATCTTCAGGGGCACTCACCACTTGTTAGAAATTAAAAAAAAAATACAAAATGTATTAAAATTATTAATTTTAGCCTATCAATAAAGCAACTGTATTAAGAGAAATGTTGAATAAAATAAAATCAAAATAATACATAATATAAAAAAGCTTAAGAAATAAATTTAATGTTTTTAGGAGGGAGGAGATGATGTCATTTGCCTGAGGGGGTGCCAAATGTCTAAGGCTGGCACTGAATAATGTCATCAAGCAAGGGACAAATTGTGCCAATATTATTCTGCATATGCTAGAAGCTGAATTGTCCTATTAAAGACTGTTACTATTGTTTGGATACCTAAATCATTAATAGCCTTTTAAATAAAAAAACAAAACAGATTCATTGTAAAAGGTTTTCAAATACAACCAAGTGAAGTGCAGGGTGTTTCATGAAGTTCAGGCAAAAGCTTGGACTTAAATAATTGCGTGTTTCACTAATATATTATACATATTGCAGTAATTCATTTGAGCCACTTCATGTTTACTAAATTTGTAAAGTCTGTGGAGAGCATTCTGTTTGGACCACTATTGCTTTTATAAGTATCGATTAACATAATTATGTTTACAAGAACTAATTTTATATTTGCATTAACTCTGTAGTTCTAAAAGCAGTCACAGTAATCTATCTGTCATGACAAAAAAAAAAAAAAAAAAAATATATATATATATATATATATATATATATATATATATATATATATATATATATATATATATATATATATAATAATTGAGAGAATAACCTTGAAAATAATAATTCATTACATTGATGAATAAAATATAGATATAAATAGAAACCACTGTCAATGAGAAAAGAGAAACAAATATACAGAAAAATATTAAATATCTTATTAAAGCAAAAAAAGAAAAAGCAATCTTGAAGTACTTATATTGAGTAAGAAAATAAGATAATATTGAACAAAACAATAATTGAAGTCATTCCATAATTTCAATTATCATACTTTCAAGAGGAAAATATTGGTACACTTTCAAAAAAATATTTAAATAATAAATCATTACTATGTAGGTGGTATTAAACTATTTTTTTTAAATATGGACACAACATATTTATTTCATGTAATGTATCCAAGTTATATTGTAATTTAAACCAAAATTCCTTTATAAAAATTAAATCATACATTTCCTGAGGCTGAAGCACTAGCAAATAAATAAAAAATCAGAATTTTTACTGGCTATAAGAGCAATTCAGATTTTAAAGAAGCAAGGTCAAGATTTAAGATTGCATATCAGGGATTATAATTTAGCCTTTTTTTTCTTTCTTTTTTTAATATTGAATTAAATTACAGATACTAGGACAAATTTCAAACACCTTTTCATTAACAGGTGATGTTTTAATTCAAGAATAAGTTTTCATCAATACTCATTTTACTTTTTACTGGTAAAGAATGTTTTTTCAAACATGGGTAAACACCAAAGTTTATATTTAAATAAATGAATGTAACCTTTCAGCAAATAGTTGTTTCTTTATTTGTAAAATTAGTTCCAAAAACAAAATGAAATTACAGGAGGGGAGGACTAATCATGAAGAATTTACTAATCTGTAAAATCTAGTTTATATATTGCCAAACTCAGGCCAAATATTGGGTTAATCTCATGATATACACTTACCAATAGGCAAATCACAAAGTAAACAGCAAGCTGCAATTGCACCAGCTGAAGCTCCAGAAATTTTGTTTAACAGAAGATGAGGTGCATATTTCTTAAAACATACAGCAACTCCAACATGGTATATTCCCAAAAATCCACAACCAGCAAATGAAAGATTCATGGTAAACTCATTCACATTCAATGACACGATTAAAAATTAATACCGAGGCAATAATTTTTATCAGGAAAATTAACTGAATGAGCACCTTATCTCTGTAAGGGATAGATAATAACACAATTTCAAAACATAGTACGCAATCAACCTTTAAACAAAGAGCTGAGTAAAAGCATTTGAACATAAAATGTCAACTTCAAAAGAATATAAAATGAAAACGAATGTTTAGACTGCAACAATCGTAAGAGAATGGCGGACTGAACTAATAAAATGTCATCCTTGAACTCTCATTACAACTAAAAGAATTGTAAAAAAATAATAAACTGTAAAATATCATCAATTCTAACCGGTTGTTGCTAAATTTGCTTTCAAATATATGGATAAATATTATAAATAAATTCATTCACGAATTCTTCAGAGAAAATCTACAATACAGGAAAATGGAAGAAAGTAATTTAACTAATAATATAAAAATTGTTGACCGTAGTTCAAAGCAAGCCAAAATGGGGTGATGATTCAAATCAGGGCCTTAGCCTTAGCATTAGCCAGGGATGGGTTTTAGCCTCCTCCAAGAGCTTCCACCATCCAGCTCTGTCTTTCGCCACCAACTTCCAGTTCTGTTTTTTAAATTTATTTATTTATTCTTGACGCTACGGTTCTGTCAGAAACTGGGCCTCTCCTATGATCCTTTGCCACCCTCCTCTATCTCGAGCGAGCATTCTCCATCTTCGTATTCCAATCCTTTTCAGGCTGTCCTCTACCTGGTCCAGCCATCTTAGGCGTAGTCTTCCTCTTCCACATTTTCCAGCAGGCCAATCCTCTAGCAAGCGTTTGGGAATCGCGTCTCGGGGCATGCGCGCTACATGGCCCAACCATCTGATCTGGTTTCCCCTCACAATTGAGACCAAATCCGTCCTCGAATACATTTCATGCAGCTCTTTATTAATGCGAATTCTCCATTGTCCCTGTTCGCACAACGGGCCATAGATCCTGAGGAGAACCATTCTCTCCCATGCGAGTAGCCTTTTTTCGGATGCTTTGGAGATCACCCAAATCTCAGAGCCATATGTGACGACGGGTGTGATGACTTTCTCATACACCGTGATCTTTGTGCTGTAAGAAAGGGATCTGTAATTTAATATTTTTCGCACCTATTTCCGGTAGCCATCCTTGCTTTTAATTCTTGCACCATTTCATTGCTTTCTGTAATTAGAGCTCCCAAATATTTAAAATGTTCGACCACTTTTAGGGTGTGGTTACCAATTGTGAAGCGTTCGACTGTTTCACCTGGCTGTTTTGAGGTTTGCATATAAACGGTCTTCTGTTTATTTATTTGTAGCACTAGTTCTTTAGTTGCGGTTTCGAATTATTTTAATAACCCCGCTAACGATGTTTTATTTTTTGCCGTTATTACAACATCATCAGCATAAGCCAGATGCTGTGTCATTCTATTACAAATTGTGCCACCATGATATGTCAGAATCGCCCTTATTGCATACTCTAGAGCAATATTAAATAGAGTAGGGGATAAAGGATCTCCTTGCCGAAGCCCATCTTTCACCTCGAAATCCTCCGACAATTGGCCATTAATTTTCACAACTGATCTACTACCGCTTAGGGTCATTCTTGTCAAAGTGACCAGTTTTTTGAGAATCCCCAATTTTGTCATTACCTTCAGCAATTCTCCTCTGCTTATACTATTATATGCCAGTTTAAAATCTATGAAAACATGATATAAGTCCATTTGGTATTCGCATGTTTTTTCTAACATTTGTCTAATTGAGAAAATGTGATCTATAGTCGATTTACCAATTCTAAAACCACACTGGTATTTACCCAAAACCTTCTCGGACCAAATTTGAACTTTTTTATTAAATAGAACTGCAAATAATTTGTATACTGTACTTAACAATGAAATACCTCTATAATTGTCGCAGTTTGTTTTTCCTCCTTTTTTGAAAACAGGGCATATGATAGCAATAGTCTATTCTTTAGGAATTTGTTCTGTTATCCAGACTTCCATCATTAGGTTGTAGATCTCTCTCAACAAAGGCTCTCCGCAATTCTTTATCACCTCCGCATCTATACTATCCAGACCAGAACATCTATTATTCTTGAGTGCGGCTATTACATCTAAAAAATCTTCATAATCTAGAGGCTCTACATCACTGTTGTTAACTTCCTCCTGTCCTACTCTAGGGCAGTTTCGCAATAAACTGTTTGGGATTGGTTGTTGAACATTTAATAAATCATTAAAATATACTTTCCACGTCTCCAGGATTTCCAGTTCTGTTAGTGAAGTATTTTCATCGTGTCAGCGGCCAGACTGTCGATCCATCTCAACATAGGCCTTCCTCTTCCCCTCGTTCGATCTAGCACCCCCTCCATATCTTTTCTAGGTATCCCTTTCTCAGCCAAACGTACCACGAGCAGTGTTGCCGTTTGTACGAGAATCCTCGTATTTGTACGAGGTTATGACGTAATGTACGAGGTACGAGGATAGATCAGCCTCTTACCTCGTACATAAGTTTTGCTGACGTTTGCGATGCAAGGTTATATTTTTATGAATGAAGTTTAGAATTGTTTTACGGTTACTTTGACTGTATTATTATTTATGTTGATATGAAATACTGAACTTCTGTTGCTTTATAGACAAATAAATTGCAATTATTTCTTCTTTAATTAGAGTATGATTATTATTTCCTTCATAAAACCATGATTGTATATATTTGTTTTTTTTTAATTTTCTAGAAAATAAAATTTAAAAAAAAATATTTTAGATTTTATTCGGTATAAAATAAAATATAAGAAACCATATCCATTATTTCCTTCATAAAACTTTTTTTATAAATATGTATTTTTTAAAATGTGTTGTAAAAGAAAATTAAACAGAAATTTTTACCGTCATTTTTATCGAGCATAAAATAAAATACGAGAAAGCATATCCATTATTTCCTTCGTAATTATTGTTTCCTTCATAAAACTGCAAATTGTAAATATATTCTAGATAAATTGAATTTTTTAAAAATTATTACCGTAATTTAAAAAAAATATTTTCGATTTTTAATCGAGTAAAGTAATTAATTGAAAAATTAACTAGTATTCATAATGAACCCATCTTAAATAATGAAAAAAAAAAAATTCAGTGGTCCACATTTATTTTGTGCGAGATATAATTGTAAGTTAAATACAGAAACAATCACGATCTATTATTTTTTTATATTATAATGGATATCTCTAAAAGCATCAATGCCCCAATAATTAATTTTTATTAGCTTTCCAGAACCACTAAACTCCTTTCATAAAAGTTGTTGTTTTGTTTTTAGAAAAAAGAAAAAAAAATTAGTCCTTCCCCCAAACTAAATCGTGGATCTACTAATGAATACTTATGAAGAGTACTTTAAAAAGTTTATTTAGCTATTTTAATTTTTATATAACGTGTTCAGTAGTTTATAAAAATATATAAACTTTTTTATATATTTCTTTAAGCTAATTTTACTTCATACCCATTAACTTAAAAAAAAGGTAATGTAAAAAGGCTTTAAAATGTATGAATGGAGGTAAAAATAAAAAATTCTGATCTAATTTTACTATAAAAAAAACAATAACACTGGGCTTATAATAGTACAATTTATGAATGAACAAGCGTACGAGGATGTACGAGGCTTGAGTACGAGCTTTTGTCACAGAGCGCGCGGTAACACTAACCACGAGTTCTACTCAGCTGAGCCTTCCCACTTTGATGAACTGTACTACATCGATATCTAGGTAGAAGCAATAGAGTTCGTGCTTCTCCTTCTCCACGTTTCACCGCCTCTAACAGGGCCGTATATTCTTAATATTTTTCTTTCAAAAATTAGCATACCCTTCTCATCTGCCTTAGAGTCCAGGTATGAGAAGCATAGGTAGGTAAGAATCGGATTTATCTGGGTCTTATACAGCTGTGCCTTTGTTTCTCTAGTGAGCAAGCGGCTATTCATATGTTTTGTGAACCCAAAACATAGCACCTGTTGGCTACCTTAGTCCGCCAGCTGATTTCAAGGTGCATGTTGTTAGATGAGGTGGCAGTCATTCCCAGGTACACGAAATATGGGAACCTTTCAGAGGATAAATTTTTTCTTGTAAGAGCTGGGGCGTTCACTTGTTTATTCTCATTGTTCTCCGGCATGTATTTGGTATCATTAACCTCTAGACCAAGATTTAGTGCAGGCGACTGAAAAGCAAGAAAGGCTTCCACCAAAGCTTTCCTTGACTTCGCCACTATGTCTACATCGTCTGCGAAGGCCAATAGTTGAACACTTCGATGAATGATAGTTCCTGGGTTCTGTATGCCTGAATCTTGAACTGCCTTCTTTAGAGCCAGTATGAACAGCAGACATGCCAATCCATCACCATGACATAGACTTTTTCCTGTCTAAAAATACCTTGAATAATCTCCTTGAACTCTGACCGTGCGGCAGATATCTTCCATGGTCATCTTTACCAGACTGGTCAGCTTTAGAGGGACCCCCAGATGGAAGGCTATCAATCAGGCCTTCATACAGATTTAATCGATTGACACTGTCATAAACATTTCAGAAATCCAGAAATATGTGGTGGGTTGGCAATCTGTGCTCGATTCCTTTCTTCATTATTATTCTCTTGAACACTTAGGTAATAGTTTTTTGTTTTTTTTTAATCTATTTATTGAATAATAATACATGCAGCCACTGCTGGAGGGCTATAAGCATTAGGGCTAAAAGTTCTCATTCATACAATATATACAAATAATAAAGAAATAAATATAAATATAAGAAGTAAATAAATAATACTGATGAAGAAGATAAATAAAAAGAAAAGAAAAAAATAATAATAATAAACAAATAAAATAAAATAAAAACTTCTAAACACAATCATAACTATATACAATATATACATTCGCCCAAGAATCTCCGAACCAGGCTTTTTCCCCCACACGTGGAAGGCAAAGCAAGACTCCGGAAGATCCCAGCGCCACTTTTCCAGCCGCATCACTAGTATTAGAAGCCAGTGGAGACTGAAAGAGGGCACTAGAGCCACAGACGCTCAGGACATGAGTGAAGAAGCTGGCCATTGCCAGGACTCCAAAGGCATATTTACAAAAGATCTCGAGGCCACTGCCGTTTCAACCTTCGAGGGGGATGGTATGGATGCTCGGAACTGGATAGGGATTGGGCTAGAGGATTGGGATGATGTATGAGGTTCTGGTGAAAGTTGGAGAATCTGGATGGGATGATGTCATGGACATATGGGATGTTAAGGTCATCGTGTAGGGTCTTATTCGTGACATAATATGGAGCATTGACTATTGTTCGAAGGACTTTAGACTGGA